AGAGAGTTGGGGGGGAGTTGCTGAGGGAGAGGGAGAGAAAAAATCCTCAAGCAGACTCGCCGCTGAGCACAGAGCCTGACAAGGGGCTCAATCCCAGGACTCAGAGATCATGACCTGAGCCAAAATTGAGAGCTGGCAGTTCAACCGACTGAGCCACCCAGTGCCCCAAAGATAATCAGCTGTATTCAAGAAGTGATTTAAGATGTCATATGCATTGGGGCATCTGGGTGACTCAGTCGGTTAAGCATCCGACTCCTGATTTCGCTCAGGTCATGACCTCAGGGTTGTGAGATTGACCCCCCCCATTGGGCTCTGTGCTGGCCATGGAGACTGCTTAAGATTCTCTCTCCCCTCTCCTTCTGCCCCTACACCCCCCCCAAAAAAAAGAAAGAAAAAAAAAAGATGTCATATGCATTGAATCAGTTCTCTCAACATTGAAGGATCTACCCTAAGGAAATAGCCTGGAATATGGAGCCAAATCCACAAACATGTGTACAGTATGCCTTAATAATTCTTTATAAGGAGGGCGCCTGGGTGGCTCAGTTGGTTAAGCGACTGCCTTCGGCTCAGGTCATGATCCTGGAGTCCTGGGATCGAGCCCCGCATCGGGCTCCCTGCTCAGCAGGGAGTCTGCTTCTCCCTCTGACCCTCCTCCCTCTCATGCTCTCTGTCTCTCATTCTCTCTCTCGCAAATAAATAAATAAATAAATAAATAATTTTAAAAAATAATTCTTTATAAGGAAACAAAATAAATGCTTAACAAAAAGTAACATTTCAATCACTTGGGGTATATTCATAAGACAAACTATTATATTGCCATTAAAACTGTTATAATTAAGAGGTTTAATAAAGTAAGAAGATGCTTATAACGTGACGTTAAATGAAGAAAACAAAGAGGCCAAACTGCATGCATAGCACGAACCAGCTATATTACCAGCATAAAGGGCAACGGTAAACTCTTAATAGTGTTTTTGAGAGAAATGGGTGACTACTGTTTTCTTCATGCTTTTCTCGACTTTCGAATTTTCTTCCAAAAATGTGTGTTATCTTTTTAGCTATAAAAATTTTATTGATTTTTAGAATTCTCATTTGGGAAGCAATGAAACTGAAGTTACATAACACACACCTAGTTATACAACCAGTCATTGTTGGAACCAGGATTAACATCCAGATATAGCCACGAGATCTACACACTTGCCAATGATGCAGCCCAAGATTGTGCTAAATCTAGGTATTTATTCATAGGTTTGTTAATTTCCAGACATATCACTCTCTTGACTTGAGCTGAATCTATTGTTGTGTTCTTCCTTCCTTTCATTTCCTCTCTTCTTTCTTTCCTTCCCCTCTTTATTTTTCTTTACCTTCATCTCTACTTTTTTTTTTTAAGATTTTATTTATTTACTCTAATGAGAGAGAGAGAGAATCTCCAGCAGACTCCCTGCTGAGCTCAAAGCCTGACTTGGGGCTCCATCTCACGACCCCGGAGACCACAACACTAGCCAAAACCAAGAGTCAGATCCTCAACTGCGTCTCTCTCCTTATCTCTTCTTAAAGCCAACCCTTTAGATTTAGCTCATCATTCCAGCCCATCAAGATCTTAGAGAGAATTGTAATTCTTTGCTCCAACAAGTAATCAATTTCTCTCCCCCTGTCATCTACAAATTTAATGAACATGTTTCTCAAAGCTATAACTGGTCTAATGCCTAGTAATATTAGACCAGATGTGGAAGCCACATCCCTCAAGTGTACTACCAACAATACTCCTCAAAATTTTCTTCAGAACATCAATAGGTTTTCAAAGAAAGGTTCTCTGTGTGGAATGTCTTTAAAACTACAGTGAATTCCACTGCAATACACAATCACATTGATTACAGAAGGGATGTTCAACATTCCTTAGGTAAGGAATTCTAAATTCTCATTCCTTAGACTCACCTGAATTCACAACACATTCCCCACGCCCTTGCCCAGACACACACATTTCTTTCTAATAAACACATATATGTCATCCTACTTGACTATTAATTCATGTTTCCCTTTTTGCCTTAGCTGCTAGGAAGCCTAAAACTAAGTTTTATATTCAACTGCTTATCATTCCTCAACTCCAGTCACTCTGTTTCTGTTTCACTCTTGCCTTTTATACTGTGCAAGTTGATTTTGATCTTACTGTAGCTAGGGTTTTATTGCAAGGCACTCTATTTTTAGGAGCATTCAAAGCATAATAAATATATTATACGAATAAAAAATTATTCTTGCCTTTTGTGTCTTCATCCAAGGTACTGACAAGTGAATGAGAAATCTCTCCACTCTCCACTCCCAAGTTTGCTCCTTCTCTGGGGTCTTCTCAATGGTATAAAAAATGACAATCCTGTAAGCTTGGTTGTACTTAAATGTTCTCTTTCATTGTCTGCTTTCTTCTGCCTTTGCTGATGCATAATCCCTTGTTACTTGAAGGTTGGATCAGGGAATTCTAGCTCTCTTCTTACCCAGGAAATATAAACCCTCAATGATGTTGCATCGTCTGGTGAGTCTCTTTTGTGGTAACAGTACTGCTTCCAAAGACCAGTACTGCTACTGATTTAATTGCGAACATTCACAGAGAGAGCCCTTCCCCTTCCATAAAACCCTGGCATACTCCTCTACCTTCTTCCCTCATAGGGTGTAATTAACAGGACTGTTCGTGGATTCACTTGTTCAACAAGTATTTAATGAGGGTCTACTATCAACTAGGCATTGAGTATGTAACTCGGAAACAGAGTAGATTACACTATATTATCTGGGTTCCCAACGAAGCATGTACCCCTCCTACAAGGATGGTGGATAACTCTTTCTCACCACTCTAAGGCAACCTAGGAAATTGGTTACACTTCGAGAGAGAGGCAGACTTATTCTCTCACCCTCAACAGGGGACTGTCTATTTTGAAGACTTGTTTATTGTTAGAATATTTGGCATAAACAGTGTCACTTCATTTGCTCCAGGAGATGGCACAAATGTCCCAACTCATCTGTAATTCCACCCCAGGAAGCCCTCACAGGATCGGGGAATCCCGAGGTCAGTAGGGTTCATTGGTCCATCCCCCAGGGTCTAGACCACACAACAACTCAATCACCCTGGTCTTCCTCTACCCTTCTTACCTTCTGCCTGGAGAGCCTGGCAACCACATCCTTCCCTGAGGCTGAGTGAAGCCCACAGTGGAATCCTTTTCTCAATGATCTTGGGAATCGTGGAGACTGACTCTCTGAGAAACCACCCAGCACTGAGGGGAGCACACATCCAGACACTGTTCATCCTTCCCTGCTGTGTCTTGTTAAGGGAAATGCATGGGTCTTTGGGTCTTGCAGAGACAGAATTCTGGGTTCTCTCTTAGCTCTCAGTTCTTCTCATCTTATTTCTGGGGAATTCTCTGCCAACTTTGGTTCAATAAAGCCCCAAGAGGCTAACTTAGCTTTTAACTTGACCATCCCCTGTAGGTCAATGCTTGAACACAAATAGGAATTGTTTGGAGACTCGATATTCTAAACTGGTTTAATTGCTGCTACTAGACTTAGTTATTTTCTAATTATTGCTTAATTTTTACTCTCCAAGTTTGAGAGAGCTTAAAAGATATACAGTTTTAATTTATTCAAGTAGAGATTAATTTTGTGCACCTAGACAAATTCTAGGAATCCTTCAGAACTCAGCCAAGTGTCATCTGTTAAATGAAGCCATATTCTGATATACACCCCTTCCCTTACCCTCCTCCAAAAAAAAGGAAAAATCACTCCCTGCTCCATGCTCTGTGGTGACTTTGTCCCCACCCAAATTATAGCATCTATCACTCTGTATTGTGTTCATTATATTACTTGTTAGTCCATCCCTACTACATAGGTCCTCAATGGGAGCAACTAATTCAACTAAGTATTGCATTGCATGGTGTAATGTGGTGCACAACCTTGAGATCATGACCCGAGCTGAAAGCAAGAGTCAGATGCTTAGCCAACTGAGCCACCCAGGTGCCCCTAAATTGTTTTATACCAACAGTTGATAGTGATCCTGGTTAAGGAAAATGTAAGAAAAACATTTCCCAAACTTCAGGCATTCGTGAATAGTCTTCATGATTTATGTTTTATCTGAGTTACTGGTATGAATTACTTAATGTTTTTCTTGACTTAAATTCAACTTACTTTTTGCTACATATCAATATGTATTATACCAGTTCTACTTGGAAATCTCTCGTTTTTAAGTAAATACAAACAAATGTTTAAATGCTCGTTCATGTGTCACCTAAAACTTTCTTTTCGAGAACCAGTAACTCTGAAAACTCTGTGAACATGGCTAAAATGAAGGCCTGCAGGGTGTGTGTACGTGTGTGAGAGAGAGAGAATTTGGCAGGAGATTGTCAAAGCAATCTAGAAAGACAAAGGCAAAATGATTCCTGAAACACAATCACCAGCCGTTTGAAAGTCTCATGGCATCTATACTGAACTGGAACATGTTTCAGAAAGGAGAAGTGGTCAGGTGTCCTCTCAGAGAAGGGCCAACAGAACCGTTCTGTTGGCTCTAGAGCAGACGGCGCAAGCAACCGCCCACAAGCTACCAGCGGGTGGTGGGTGGCCTTCAGGTGGCTGCGCTCACGCTTTCATTGCCTTGCGGAAAGCCCCAGAACGCAACACAGCGGAGCAGCTGCCATGCTTGAGTTGGGACTCCATTTCTTTGGAGTCCAGACCTCTTTCCACTGTAGCCAGAGACACAGATGTCTCTGAGTGACGCCGTGGGCAATGTGGCAGTTTACTCATGATTTCTCTCAATTCCACTCCTCTCTCTTTCCATTTCTTCCCCCTATTTTTCTCTTATTTTTTCCTGCAACCCTAACAATGATTTTCTCTCTGCCAAATTTAATGTGCCCGTGGTTTATTGGTGTTAAATAAATATCATTTTTAAGAAGCTATGGGGAGAAAAATCCACCGACCGACTCCTTAGCAAATGACACCAGCCTTGAGTCATCTTCTTATCCTTCTTCTAGAATCAGACTCCAGGGAGTTTGGAAAAGAGGGTGAGTGCATTCGAGGAGGCCATGAAGCGATGTCTGTGACCAGTGTACCTCTTTCCCACGATGGTCTCTCCACATTCCCGAGTGATTCACTGAGTGTGTCCAGCTGAGCCCAACCTTCAATCCAGTTCTCCCACAGACAACCACAAACCACAGCAGGCATAGTTAGCAATGTGTCTCTAGGGGACGAGGGGGGTCAGTGAATCTTGCTGTTGATAGAGAAGTCCTTGACCTTCATCTTGACCTACATCTCACTTCTCTAGGAAGAGCAACCAGAGAGACGATGTAGGAAACACTGCATGGCCCCAAAGATCGTTTTCCTTGCTAAGAGCAAAGACCAGGAGTGGTGAGCTCTGAATTTCACTACAAATAAATTTTGAAGTCATCTGGCTTTTACTATTCTTTCTTGAAAGTTTTTGGTTTCTAGGTCAAATTTCCCTGAGTAACAATCAAATTTTAAAATATACGTATAAGGATTTGTGTTCAGTAACATCCAGGAGCAAACGGGTTGCATTTTTCAATTTACTCATGTGTTTTCCTTTACAGCTCATCTTCTGTTACAACAGACTCATTTCATTCAGAGCTGAGGCACCATTCTATCTGGTACCACTCCCCTGAGTATTTGTTGTTGGTCATTTACACAACCATTTCCCTAAGAATGTTCACAGAAGATTATCTTGATCAGGTTAAGTTAATTAGGTGAGAAAGAAAGAAAGGAAGGAAGGAGGGAGGGAAGGAAGGAAGGAAGGAAGGAAGAGAGGAAGGAAGGGAGGAAAAAGGATGAAGGATGATGTCCTAAGTCACTCTCTTCTGTCAATTTGTATCAAGAAGAAGAAGAGGATTTGGGGGGTCCACAGGGGCCCACCTAGAGCTGAGTTACAGCCTACCTGATATTTTTAGTTAAAAAAGGGAATATTTTCTTAAATAAGTACCTTCCATAAACTAGTTAGGCAGTAGGGCTATGGCTTAGTTAGATCTGGCTGTTAGAACAAAGTGCCAGATACTGGGTGGCTTCTAAACAACAAAAATTTATTTCTCACAATCCTGGAGGCTGAAAGTCTGAGATCAGAGTGCCACATGGTTGGGTGAGGGTCCTCTTCCACACTCTCATTATATCTTCACATGGTAGAAGGGGCTAGGGAGCTTTGTGGGATTTCTGTTATAAGAGTGTTGATACCATCCATGAGGGCTCCACTCTCATGACCTAATTACCTCCAAAAAGTACCACCTCCAAATACTATCACATCAGGGATTAGATTCAATATATAAATTTTGAGGGGACACAAACATTCAGCGCATACTAGGCCGCTTCCTTTGCATAGCTAATGCCACTAGGAGTCTTTCCAGTAGGCTCAGACCAATGAGTAAATAAAATCAAATTAGAATATGATGACATTATTTTGTGCTGTTCAAATCTAATTCCATTGGAATACCATTATGAAATTGGAGCATGCTGATGGACGTGTAATGGAAGAAAAGTAAACCAATCGTGTCCAAATCTTGTGTAGTAAGCACAAAACTTCTTGGCTCATTATTAATGCAGAATATATGTATTCCAACTCTTGGATAATAACAATAACCAGGACCTTTCTCTTCTCCAATTTCTATCCAGATCCCGGTTGAGTAAAATAGTGTTTGTGGAACACTTCCTGAAAGACATGCTGGCCAATCAGGCTCTAATAGTTTAGGTTTATTCCCTAAAATCAAGTTAGAAAATTTGAGAGGTATATCCTTTTTTGACCATAATCATCCCTTCCAGAACTGCTTTAAGTGACTTGAACATGTCACACCATCAGCTTACGTGGGGAATTAACCCTAGAAAATTCATTTCATATTTACTGTATGTTATAGTGGTGAAGGTCACAGGCTTTGGAGTCAGACTGTGACAGCACTTACTAGCTGTGTGATCTTGAGGAAATTACTTAACATCTCTGAGCCTCAGTTCTTTATGTGTAAAATACGGAAAATAATGGTACCTATCTTATAAGATGTGGGAATCAAGTGAGTTAACGTATACCAAGCACCTAAACAATATCTGGCACATTATTCAGTGCTCAATAAATGATAGCTAGTGTTATTATTGTAATTGCTGGTATGTTGTTAAATATGCAATATTCTCCTTTGAAAAATTGTGGGAAAAGATTCTTTACATCTGAGATTTAACAAAAAAAAGTTAGATTTCTCCATATTTCTACTATATATTATTCTGCAAACTCTGAATTTTCCAACTGAATTGTATTTTATTCTTTTTCCTTGGTTACTAGAAATCTCAGATACCTGTAGGTGACCATTATATAGACTGCAGAGAGCACATGGTTTGCATTTCTGCATAGAATTTTACTACTATATTCTCTATAATCGCACCTAAATTTTTCCTTTACCCCAATCTTCTTGCCTATGTGTTTTTAACATTTGTATCGAAGTATTTTTAAACTGCTTCACAGCTTTTGTGGAAGCATATTGGAAACAGAATAAATTAAAAGTAGAGAAGTAGGGGTGCCTGGGTGGCCTCAGTCGTTGGGCATCTGCCTTCGGCTCAGGTCATGATCCCAGGGTCCTAGGATCGAGCCCCACATAGGGCTCTATGCTTGGCGAGAAGCCTGCTTCTCCCTCTCCCACTCCCCCTGCCTATGTTCCTGCTCTTGCTGTGTCTCTCTCTGTCGAATAAATAAATGAAATCTTTAAAAAAAAAAAAAGTAGAGAAGTAATATATTAAATCCAACAAACACCATTGCTATCAATAAAATATCTATGAATCTCCACACAAGCACAACTAAAAATACTTGGATGCCCCAGGAATTCTACCGTCAGGATTCCACATTCCCCCTCTTTCTCACATGTAACACAATCATGTATGAAAGAGGCTAGTTTTTATCACTAGCAACATCAAGAGAGAAGGGGATTCTTTTCTTTTTCTCTTATCAAGGAAGATGTCTTGGAAATACCTTTCCCTACTCTCAATCCTCCATCTGGTCTCCGCTACCAATGTCCCTAACAGCCCTACTTATTGCCTGCTATGGCTTGGGGTTCCCCTGCGAGGGTCAGAGGACCCACCTGCTGTGATGAGAAGCCACTGACTCTGCTGCTTTGGGAAGGGCTGATCGGACCAGCAGGAAGGCAGGACTTGAACAACTTAGTAAAAGCCGTTTAAGGGTAAGTGACAGAGGACTTAAATAAATAACAATCGTGGCTTCTTCTGTAGTTTCTTATTATATTTTCACACATCCACATTTTCACTGGACTGTCCATCCAACCCCCTTGAGGTAGGAAGGCTGTTGTTACCACCATCCTCTCTTTTACATAAAGGAAAAAGGTCAGGACTCACGTTTGTGGTTGGACCTTAAGGCTAAATACCCTGCACTTACCAGAAAATAAGAAGAAAGAATAAGCCATTTCTTCTACCCCAAGGGGCCTTATAGACTTATTATAAAGGCAATGCCAAAACATATGAAACTTAGTTACATAAAAAGAAGTGTGATTTAATGAAAAGAGAAGGATCGCTGTCAGAAGAGTGGCCGGACAGACTTTATTAAGGCAGTGGGACTTGAGCAGGCAAAGAGAAAGGTCATAAGACATTTGAATGCATCAATCCATTGGGCCTGTGTACCGCCAAGGATGTAGGCTCTTAAAACAGGTAACAGGACAGCATCCATTGTATCAACTGCTATTGGGTCTCTATGCGTCCATTCATTCATCCTTTTCTTCACTGTAGGCAGGGCCAATTCCTCACTGGAATCCACTAAAAAGCAGAGGAATTCGCACTGATGAGCATTTCACAGGCTGAGACAGCCATGGAGATGGTTATCTCTCCACTCCTTCCTTCTTGCTTTGGAGCTTCCTGTCCTTCAGATCATGCCCCTACTCCCGATTTGGGGAATATTTTTTCTAGGAAGGAATATTTTTCTAGGAAGTTTTCCTGAACCAGCACATTCTTGCCATAAGTCTCCTTACTGCATCAGTCACCTCTCGATTCCTTATGCTACAGATCAAGGGGTTTAGCACTGGTAAAAAAAGGTGTAAACAACAGACACTGCCCAGCCCTCTTCTGGAGAGTAGCTGGAGCTCGGGTGAAGGTAGATGAGGGTGCAACTCCCATACTGCAGGAGAACCACGATGAGGTGAGAGGAACAGGTGGAGAAAGCCCGGCGCTTTCCCTCAGCTGAATTCATCCTCAGGATGGTGGCCACGATGCAGCCATAGGAGAGGCAGATAAGGAGGAAGGGGACAGCCATGGCGGCCACACTGAGGACATAGAGAGCGGCCTCATGCACACAGGTGTCTGCACAGGCCAGGCACGTGACGGCAGGCATGTCACAGAAGAAGTGGTAGATCTCATTGTGGCCACAGAATGGAAGGTGGCAGATCAGAATGGTCAAAGGCAGTGACAACAGGAATCCCAGCCCCAAAGAACCTAAAGTCATCTGCCCGCAGAGCTGCCAACTCATGATGAGGTTGTAATGCAATGGATGACAAATGGCCACGTACCTGTCATAGGCCATGACAGCAAGCAAGACACAGTCAGACCCTCCAAGAAGGATGAAGAAGAACATCTGGGCCCCACAGGCAGGGAGAGAGATAAGCATCTGCCCCATGGAAAGGATGCTAGCCAGAGTCAGGGGAGTAATGTTCGTAGAGTAGCCAATCTCCAGCATGGGCCAGAACAAAAAGGAAGAAGTACATCGGGGTATGGAGGGAGCAATCTCTCCAGACAGTGAGCCCAATGGTGATGTTTCCAACAAGACTTCCTATGTACAACAGCAAGAGGGCCACAAATATGAGGGGAGCCACCCCGGGGTCTGTTGAGAAGGGGTGGAAGTGGAAGTGGACCCCTCCCATCTGGTTTTCCTCTTCCATTAGGCCTGGAACAAGGAAAGAAGTCATGGGAAAAGTGACTCTCCTTGTCCTTGAGCCTGGAACCGGCCCAGACAGGTTCAAAACACTGTCTGCAATCACTGAGTACTTACACTTACTACTTCCTTTGGAGTGCAGTTCATGTTATCTCGCCTGGCCACTGCTTATTCTATAGCTGTGTGACCTTGGAGAAGTTACAGACTTCAGCGCTCTCCTTTTTTTCTTTTCTTTTCTTAAAGATTTTATTTATTTATCTGACAGAGAGAGAGAGACAACGAGAGAGGGAACACAAGCAGGGGGAGTGGGAGAGGGAGAAGCAGGCTTCCCGCTGAGCAGGGAGCCCAATGCAGGGCTCGATCCCAGGACCCTGGGGCTCGATCCCAGGACCCTGGGGCTCAATCCCAGGACCCTGGGATCATGACCTGAGCGAAGGCAGAGGGCAGACGCTTAACAAATGAGCCACCCAGGCGCCCCCAAGCGCTCTCCTTTTAAATGTGGGAAGAGTCTAACACTCACCTCTGAGGTGTGGTGAAAATCAAATGAGATTCTGTGTCTGAAAGTGCAAAGCCCTATGCACCCAGTAGGTTCTCAAAAGGGTTTCCTATTTTCCTATTTCCATTCTTCCCTTATCTTCATTCTTTATATATATATAAACACCCCGATGATTCACATGCCTCTTTAGTACTCTGATTATCCAGTTACCACAACAACATCTTAAAAATACATATTTAGGGACACCTGGGTGGCTAAGTCAGTTAAGCATCTGCCTTCGGCTCCGGTCATGATCTCAGGGTCCTGGGATCAAGCCCTGAGTCGGGCTCCCTGCTCAGCGGGGAGTCTGCTTCTCCCTTTCCCTCTGATGCTCCCCCTGCTTGTGCTCTCTCTCTCAAATAAACAAAGAAAAAATTTAAAGATTCATATTTATACAAAGAGCCTATGATTCTCATGTCGAGCCTAGAAGGCCGGCAAAAAGGTGTTGCCTTCAGCCAATAGAAATGTGGACCTGGAAGCCCAGAGTTAAATAGCTCACACAGCTATCCTCCCCAGTCAGGACTTTGTGATGGTATTTTTTCCTTCAACATTCAACAATCCAATTTGTTTTGTTTTGTTCACCAAGCGTGAACCCTACTCTTATTTTACCTTCTTGCATAAGTCCACCTGCGTTTTTATGGTGTCTACCCTGGATAGGGATTAATGCCCTCCTACGGGGCTCACCCACCTGCCAACCCAACTTATCATACTTTTAGATCCATCCCTCTTTTTTTTTTTTTTTAAGATTTTATTTATCTGAGAGAGAGAGAGAGCACAAGCAGGGAGGAAGGACAGAGGCAGAGGGAGAAGCAGACTCTCCGCTGAACGGGGAGCTCCACTCAGGGCTCGATCCCAGGTCCCTGAGATCATGACCCGAGCCGAAGGCAGACGCTTAACCAACTGAGCCACGCAGGTGTGCCTAGATCCATCCCTCTTAAACACTTTTTAAATCATATTACTCCACATTGACTCTAAGCTTAAAAAGCAAAAGAACCTCAAATTTGTCAATTATACCTCAATAAAGCTGAGGGAAAAAAACCAAAGGAACCTCTTATTCTTGTAGTATCACACACAATTATGACAGGCTGAGTCACAAAATATTTTTATAAGTAAAATTAGTATGACTCACAGGGTGGGGTGGAAGTTCAGGAAATCACTCCGTGAACACGCCCCACTGCCCCATCTCACCTGAACTCACATCTTTATTCCAAGTCACTAGGTCCTTATGCACATGACCCTTAAATTGCATTGTCTGAATTTGCTGCAAGGTAGGCTTGCTCGTGCATGCAAGTATTTTCTGATGTTTGTGGAATTTTCAATTACGTTCAAATGGCCAAAGCTACAGAGCGCTCCTTGCATTGATCTTCTTGGGGAATCCTTAGGCCAGGCCAGGCCAGGCCAAAAACACTGTTCTACTAAATTACAGGGGTGACAAAAATGGCAAATTAATTATTTTTGTTGTTTAACAAAGTGAGCCAAGTTTTAATATTATGTTTTCCTTGGGTTTGGATCTTAAGGATGATCCTCAGTGCTGTCAAGGTTGTGGAGAAATGAGCACTGCCAAGGTCACTGGTGGAGGGGTGAAAGGTTTGACACTGTGGGAAAATATTTTTCAAATGCTTGTATTTTGTCAAAATACGGACAATTTTCCAAGCTGGGTAACTCATACATAAGCATTCATTATACTGTCCTCTTAATTCGTATAGGTTTGAAATTTTCCAAATAAAAAATGCATATTTGAATTTAAGTTGAGTTATTCCACTTCAGGACTCTAAAGTCAGAAATTAACCTAAAATATAACAACCATAACAACAACAAAAAGCTTTATACACAAGGCAAAAATCACAGCATAATTTTAATAGGAAATCATGAAAATAACCGAATGCTAGATTCAGTTGCTGAAATACTATGCAATTGTTTAAAATTACATTTATGAAGACACTCTCATAACGTGAAAATATCTGTGATATAATACTACACAGAAAATGAAATTTAAAAAGTTTCAATCTCTGCACCACAAAAAAAATCCAGTCTTTGAGTGATGAACCTGAAGGATATTTTTCCTGTTCTGTATTCTCCAAAATCCTATAATAAATGTCAAAACTCCTATAATTTTAATTACAAGCTTATAACATGATAAAAAGAGAGACAAGCATATTGTCCTCAAACTGCAGAGGACAATATTTTGCAAATTTCTAGAGCAAAGTAAACAATTTATACGGACTCTTTCCTTAAGAAAAGTATTTGTCTCTTCACAATGGACCACCACATTTTCAGTAAGAAAAGTGTCATTGGGGCGCCTGGGTGGCTCAGTTGGTTAAGCGACTGCCTTCGGCTCAGGTCATGATCCTGGAGTCCCGGGATCGAGTCCCACGTCGGGCTCCCTGCTCAGCAGGGAGTCTGCCTCTCTCTCTGACCCTCCCCCCTCTCATGCTCTCTGTCTCTCATTCTCTCTGTCTCAAATAAATAAATAAAATCTTAAAAAGAAAAAAAAAAAGAAAAGAAAAGTGTCATTGCACGAAATGCACTCAGTTCTTCATCCAGGTCACTTGCAGTCAATCACCCCTGGAATGGAAGTGAAGTAAGTTTGTTTTTCCAGCCAGCCTGCCTTCCTTCAATGCCGACATAGAACAGCCCCAATACATCAACTATCCCAGGGAAACAGCCCCACCGGAGCACCAAGCACAGCCTGGGAAGTGCTGATGGGGAAACTTGAAACTGGCTCCTCACACTCCGGGCATAGACCACACACCCCCTCCGTCTACATTGTTCACTCTTGAGTTATCTGTGTACGTGCCTGTCCCCCGGCCACACAACACACACGCAACTTCTACATTTCGTCTGTACGCACACACTCACACACGATTTGCCGATGACAGATGCTTTTTAAACTTTTTAAAGAATAGTTAAGGGGCGCCTGGGTGGCTCAGTCGTTAAGTGTCTGCCTTCGGCTCAGGTCATAATTCGGGGTCCTGGGATCGAGCCCCGCATCGGGCTCCCTGCTCAGCAGGGAGCCTGCTTCTCCCTCTCCCTCTGCCTGCTGATCCCCCTGCTTGTGCTTTCTCTCTCTCTCTGTCAAATAAATAAATAAAATCTTTTAAAAATAAATAAATAAAATAAAATAAATAAAAATAAAAATAAAAAATAGTTAAGACAGCCCGACGAAGCCAGATATCCTGAATCACAGCAGGGAAAACTGGAAAAAGGAGTAAGATTAAAATAGTAGCCAACATGTATGGGGTGCCTGCTGATGTCTCCTGCATTACAAATAATAATAATAATTGGGGCACCTGGGTGGCTCAGCCGGTTAAGTGTCTGCCTTCAGCTCTGGTTACGATCTCAGGGTCCTGGGATTGAGCCCCGTGTTGGGCTCCCTGCTCAGCGGGGAGTTGGCTTCTCCATCTCCCTCTGCCTCTGCCCCTGTCCCTGCCCCTGCTCGTGCTCTCTCTCTCTCAAATAAATAAATAAAATCTTTAGAAAACAAAACAAAACAAAACAAAAAACAAATAATAATATAGTTATTGGGTGTCAGGTACTATTCTAAGCACTTTCTGCCAATTAACTCATTTACTTCTCATAATAAACTTATGAGGTAGGTGCTATTTTTTTTTTTTTTTTTTTTTTGGTAGGTGCTATTATTGACCTTATTTTACAGGTAAGGAAATCAAAGCACAGATTCCAACCCTGGCCAAAAGGCTGAAGACTGCATATGCTTAACCACTGCTCCATGTGACTTGTCAGGAGTATGTCCCCACATTTGTCACCTTTGCGTGGTGAAGCTTTATATATGTGGACTTGTGGCAGAATAAGGATTTGCTGTATTCCATCTCTAGGAGACAGTGCATCATCTGTTGGGGGGAATCTTAAAAAAAAAAAAAAAATTCAGGTACTTAATAGTCCCACTGCTGGGAATTAATTCCGAAGAAGCAAGTCAAAGGAACAAGAAAGTATTCATATAAAGCTATTTCTAGCAGTATTGTTCCTGGATATAAAAGAAAGAAGCAAATTGCACAACCCACAAGGAACTAAAATGTCCAATGGTTAAAGAGTAATGAAATGATACGGTGTATGAATTCAGTGGATTAGAAGGCCTTTGCTAAGAAGAGTAGAGAAGACAGTGTTGAAAAAAACAGGAAGCGTAAACAGCAGGCTGTCAGTTTAAGTATAAACAAACAAGGCCAAGTACCCACCACATTCATAGGGCTGTGAAATTTTTTTTTTTTTAAAGATTTTATTTATTTATTTGAGACAGAGAGAATGAGAGACAGAGCATGAGAGAGAGGAGGATCAGAGGGAGAAGCAGACTCCCTGCCGAGCAGGGAGCCCGATGCGGGACTCGATCCCGGGACTCCAGGATCACGACCTGAGCCGAAGGCAGTCGCTTAACCAACTGAGCCACCCAGGCGCCCTAGGGCTGTGAAATTTTATAACTGGACCAAAGTACTGAGAGACCGTAGGCAGTTATAAATATGCGTTGACAGAAATGAGTATGTTTGCATGTCTTTTGCAAATTTTTTATACATTTGTCTAATCACCTAAATTTTTAAAGTATTTTTTAAAGATTTTATTTATGTATTTGAGAGATAGAGAAAGAGAGAGAGCATGAGCAGGGGGAGGGGTAGAGGGAGAAGGAGAAGCAGACCCCCCCCGCCCCGATGGGCAGGGAGCCCAACGAGGGGGCTCGATTCCAGCACCCTGGGATCAGGACCTGAGCCAAAGGCAGACGCTTAACCAGCTGAGCCACCCAGGCACCCCTAAAGTATTTTTTAAATAAAAATGAAGGAACCCATCATCAGAGAGGCTTTTTCTAAACAAACGCCAAAACCTACCTCAGGCTGGTAGAAAATCCCTGGGAGGGTAAGTTAGCAGAGGGCTCTTTAAGCATTTATTTCCCTCAGAGCTTGGAAACATTCCAGTCTCCTGAAACTTCTCCTGAAGGGTGTCAGAGCCTGAGGTTAACCACGTCCTGCCTTTCCTTCACAAGAACCCTCACCGAGCCCTTGTATCTGACACTTATTTATTGAGCACCTACTCTATTCCCTGACACTGATGTGGAAAGTGGAGATAGAGCCGTGAACAGGAGAGATAAAGCCCTTGACCTCGTGAAGCTTACATCCTCGCAAGAAAGAACAGACAGGAAATAAGAAAAAAATAATCATATAGTTTTAGGTAATGATAAGTGCATATGGCAGATAAAGCAGAGTAATGGGGTGGGGGTGGGCAACTTCAGCTAAAGGAGTCGAGGAAGACCCCTCTGGAAAAGTGACTTGAATGGAGGTCTGAAAGTGTAACCAAAAAGAGCAGGTGCAAGATGACTACGTTCTAGAAATCTGCTGCACAACATCATGCCTATACTTAACAATACTGTATTGTACACTAAATAGATAAAGGGGATTTGAGGTACAAACCTCCAGGTATAAAATCAATAAGTCACAGGGATTAAAGTACAGCCTAAGGATTGTCATCGGGAACACTGTAACAACTTTGTATGGTGACAGAGGGTAACTACACTTGTGGTGAGCATTTCGTAATGTGTATAATTGTCGAATCACTATGTGGCACACCTGAAACTAATAAAATACAATATGTCAGTTTCAACTGAAAAATTTTAAAATCAAAACAGATGAACATAGGGGAAGGGAAGGAAAAATAAATTAGAATAAAAACAGAGAGGAAGGAAACCATAAGAGACTCGTAACTATAGGAAACAAACTGAGGGTTGCTGGAGGGGGGTGGGTTGGAGGATAGGGTAACTGGGTGATGGGCATTAAGGGGGGCAAGTGATGTAATGAACACTGGCTGTTATATGCAACTGATAAACCACTAAATTCTACCCCTGAAACTAATAATACACTGTGAATTAACTTGAATTTAATTTAAAAAATTTTTAAATAATAAAATAAAATCACAAAAAATTTTAAAGGGTGGATTTCATGTTAAGTATTCTTATCACAATAAAAAGTAAAATAAAATAATTTTTACGAGGTTACTGGAATGTGTAAAAATAAATGGAAGGGAAAGAGTATTCGGAGAGAAGCATTAGCACATGCAAGGGTCCTGCGGCAGCAAGTATTTGGCTGGTTTAGTGAACCACAGAAACAGCGATGTGGATGGATGGATGCAGAGGAGTCAGCGATGGGGTAAAAGGAAAGAGAAAGCCAGAGGAAGGTAGCCGAAATCATGCAGAGACTTGAGGGCCACAGTTAGAAGTCTGGATTCCATTGTAAGTATTATGGGAAACCACTAGAGGTTTTAAGGAGAGGGATATGCTGGCCCTTGTGTTGTTACAAGGTCACTCATCTATGATGCAGAGAACATACTAGAAGGGAAGAAGAGGCAGGGAGATGGTCGGGAGGATCAGATGCCATGAGATGACTGGTGGCCCCAGAATTGAACTCACCCAGCTCCTTCTACCCTTCCTTTTCCCCCTCAAGTATCAATTATATGGAGATCTGGCTAGATGTGAGAAAAAAGTATGTGGTTCTCCTCTCCAACACGTTACTTTATCTGACCGGCTTTATAAAAAATAAGTAGTTTGGATATTTCCTATTGCCCTCTGCATTTCCACGGGTTGTCAAAGGAAATTTGACCTATAAAAGATATTAATAGAGCTGACAGTTATCGGATACTTACTATGGGCACATTCTCTGCTAAGAGTGTCATGTGCATTATTGCCCATGATTACCTCCATTTTACAGATGATAAAACTGGGGCTTTCAGAGTAAATAATTCGACCAAAATTAGGTATCTTAAAAGAGAGAAAGCTAGGAATAAAACCCAATTTGAAGGACTTCAAAGCTACACTCTAGACTACATGTTTGCAGTGAATACACTGGTATTCAAAGTACAATAATGGGGATCAGCAGAATCAGTGTCAACTGGGAGCTTGGTACTGTGCAGACGCTCGGGCCCCACCCCAGACCACTTAACATAAAGAAATTTTAAATTAAAATTCCTTACATTTTCTATGTAAAATCATATCATCTGAGACCTATTATTTTATTTTCTTGTCTGACTGCATTATTTAGAACCTCCAGAAAGTGTTGATTAATCATGGTGATAGCAGGTGTCCTGTCTAGCACCTGATATTTTGTGAACGTGGTTTAATTATTCCACCATTTTAATGATGCCTGCTGTGAGACTTTAATATAGTCGTTTTCACATGAAGTATCAGGCTCTGTAGGAGGAGTCAGCAAGTTTTTTCTATAAAGTCCCAGAGAGTATGTTTTAGGCTTTGTGGGCCGTATAGCCTCTGTCACAACTGCTCGACTTTGCTGCAGTCATAGACAATAGGGGAATGAATAAGCATGGCTGCATTCCAATTAAACGTTATTTACAAAAAACAGACAGCCCACAGATGTAACATGTAGCCTGTGGTTTGCTGATTCCTGCTTTAGGGACAGCACAGGTTTGAATTTTGGTGCTTGCTGGTTACATCCCCTTCCTTGGGTAAGTTATTCGACATCATGGTCCTCAGTTTCCTTATCTGAAAAAATCTTCATAATGTAATTATGCAGAGTAAGTGATACGTGCAACATATTTAGAAGAGTTGCCTACGTCAGAAGCAGCACTCAATAATGTAAGCACAAGAGCAGAAATCTTGCCTGATTTATTCCCCACTGTACTCCTGGTTCCTGGCACACAGTAAACACTCAATAAATATTCACAGAATAGCTAAAAGTTAACCATATTTAAGCAGTTTATTTCTATTCCTATTTTATTCAGAGCTTTTATGAAGCATCTCTACGGAAGTCCATCAGATAACCTTTCAGCAGCTCTGAGTATAAATGTATTATTTGCCACTTCTATTCAACATAACACTGGAAGTCCTAGCCAAGGTAATTAGGCAAGAAAAAGAAGGAAACGCTGCCATTTGTGACAATATGGATGAACCTGGAGATTTTGGTAAGTGAAATAAGCCAGACAGAGAAACACAAGTACTGAGTCATATCGCTGATATGTGGACTCTAAAAGAAGTTGAACTCCTAGAAACACAAAGTAGAGGGTGGTTACCAAGGGTTGGGGAGTGGGAGAATTGGGGAGACTTTGGCCAAAGGGTACAAGTTTCCAGTTATGAGATGAATAGGTTCTGGATACCTACTGTAACAACATGGTGACTACAGTTAATGTACTGTATACTTGAAATTTTCTAAGTGAAGAGATATTAAGTATTCTCACCACACACAAAAAAGTAACTATATGAGGTGATGGATATATTATTTAGCTTGATTGTGGTAATCATTTTACAACGTATACATATATAAAAAAATCACATTATATACCTCAAATATATACAATTTTTGTTTGTCAATTTTAGCTGGAACATAAAATATTGGGGATGAATATCTGGAAGTAAGGATGAATAAAATCAGTAGCTCTCAACATTCTCTGCACCATACAAATTTCATTTACGGTGTTTTCTCTATGAACCCCACAGTCAAAACTGTAAAGCTAAGGAAGGGTTAGGTGACATGATAAAAACTGCACATGCATTATCCCATTCAATCTCCACAACTACTCTTTGAGAGAGGAGCAGTACTATCATTCCCACTTTGCAGGTAAGGTAAGTAAGGCTGAGAAAGTTTAATTAATTTACCCAGAGACACACTCAGCCAGTGGCTGAGCCAAGGTTTAAATCCAAGTTTGTCTGAATTCAGACCTACTCTTTTAGCCATTCTTTTGCTTTTTTAAAAAATACTATTTATTTATTTGACACAGAGAGAGTGTGTGTGTGAGCACACAAGCAGAGGGACTGGCAGGCAGAGGGAGAGGGAAAAGCAGGCTCCCCACTGAGCAGGGAGCCCAATGTGGGACTCCACCCCAGGACCCGGGATCATGACCTGAGCTGAAGGCAGACGCTTAACTGACTAAGCCACCCAGGTGTCCCTATTTTAGCCATTCTTATATATATTGCCTCCAAACCCCATGTTTTGAAAATTACTACCTTTTTTTTTTTTTAATAGGCTTCATGCCTATCATAGAGCCCAATGCGGGGTTCAACTCACAACTGTGAGATCAAGACCTGAGCCAAGATCAAGAGTTGGACACTTAATGGACTGAGCCACCCATGTGCCCCCCAACTCTATCTTTTAAATAAACAAAAACACAAGTGATGGTGATGATGATAATAATATAATAAAATCATCCCAGGAAAATGTATGACATATGTTAGGGCTTTTGAAATATTAAAATTACCTTGGAAACTCCATTAATAATCTCAAAAGGCCTTTGAGATATGGGGATTGGAGATGGTAACCATTAGATGACCTCTAAAATCCCTTTTCATTCCATAATTTCATGAATGACCTTTCTAAAAAGAAAAAAGCTCTAAATGGTCCCTCATTTCTCCAGGGAACACTGAAAGAAAACCATGTCTTTGGATGAAATTGAATGAAGCATCATTGTTCATTAATCTCAACATATATTACTAAGAGACTACTGTCAGGATTTGAATGGTTCAATACAGAACACTCAAGTAGATGGTGAGTGTTTGGTGTTGGATATATGAAATAGAAGATACTCATTATCGATCCAACAGAAATATCAAATAGACAGTGAAGTCTGAAGTTCAGGGACGAGGTTAGCTGGAAATAACACATTTGAGAATTATCAGCCTGTTGCCTGTATTTAAAGCCAGACAACCAAATTGAATCATCTGCAAAGAAATGTAAAAAGAAAAGAGGACCTAGGACCGAGACCCAGCTTGAGTGGAAGTTAGGGAAAGAGAAGAAGCCAGCAAAGTAGACCAAGAAGGAATATCAGAAATATAAAGTAAAATTAGGAGGAATTAATTTTCCAGAAGTAAAGAGAGCAGAGGATATCACAGAATGTCTTCCCCCCCCCAAAAAAAAGAAAGAAAGAGAATAATGCTGCATGTAGAAATTAACTTTTTAAAAACATGGTTTCAAGGTAAATTAAGTGAAAATAATAATTTTTCTTTCCCCCAACTGACCTCGTCACTGAACTTATCAACAAATTACTGAAAGATAATCCCCAGGGAAGATGCATCAATGGGATAATCCTGATGCAATTTTAATTCTTAAGGAACACTGTATTTAATCTTATTGCTTTATGCTTCCCATGCAGACCTCAGACATCTCAGGAGACCAAGAACGTCCCTTTAGCCAGATTAGTTATGAATGTCCTTATTCAATGATAATTTCAAGTTTGAGTATCAGGGGAACTTCAAAGGTAGGTTTTAGGCTACAGGGATGTAGTGAGTAAAGCCCAGATGTTACCTTATACAAAAAAGAAAAAGGTAGGATGGAACATGCCTTCAAGCTAAGAGTTGATTAGATAGGAATCCTGTTGAGTTTCAGAAGGGTTTTAACAACGTGCCCTGACTGGGTGTTATACGCAAACAATGAATCATGGAACACTACATCAAAAACTAATGATGTAATGTATGGTGATTAACACAACATAAAACAACAACAACAACAACAACAACAACAACAACAACGTGCCCTGAATCAGCGAGACATGTGAATCTAGAAGTGGTCAGTATACCTGCCCAGGGATCTTCTGAGGACAGAAGGACCTAGGGGCAGACTCCAGGGTCCTCAGTGTTTAGCGAAGGATCCAAGTAAATCTGCAATGGCTTGCAGTCCACATGAGTCCAGTATAAGGTAAGAATCTCTTCCCGGACTCCAGATTTGAGAAGATTAGGAAAATCCCTAGCTTGTAACTAGGCCAAGCCTTGTGGTAGGCGCTGGCCAGGGAAGAGAAACTAAGGATGGAAATTTTCACAGAAAGAGTCAAAGTCCAGTTCCTACTCAGAACCAATGTTTTATACCAGACGGTTTAAGGGGAACTCAAGAATGCATACTGTAAAATTCATGCTCTTCCAACTGATGAATGGCAAGAAGGAGGTTCTGTCCAAAGTGGTCAAGGAATCTTACTCTACATCAGATTAAGAGGTCATTGCTAACTAGCATTGAAACATACAGATGTCAGTACTTTTAAGGCTTTTTCTAGTTTAAAAATATCCATCATTGCAAACTTCAAACTTACAGAAGCTGAAAAAGAAGGAAACATCTATTATAAAAGGAATGACTAGAAGGTTCCTTCACATCAAGGATCCCCCTTATGCATTCAAAAGTAATCCTAATTACATGCAATTTTTCAAAAAACATTATTGCCAAAAAGAGATATGATATGCTTGTGCTCCCCTGGCATGTTGTCCTTTTATATAAAGTACTTAAATGAATTGGAATTTTACTATTTTTATTGCTCTCAATGTTGAGCTCTCTGAACATTGGCTTCTCTCATTCTCTACACTTTTCCTTCTTCTCCTGGACACTCAAGCTATGCCTTGCATAGAGTAGAGCCTTAACAAATATTTTTAAAGGATTTATTAAAATAAATATTGTTGATTAAATGGGTAGTTGGTGAAGAGGTAGGAAAGAAGAAACAAAAAGGAAAGAGAGAGATCATAAATTAGGGGACTGAGCACTGACTTTGCAATGAACTGAGAAAGGCTTGTGGCACATCATTTTCTAATGAAATAGTTTTGTTGATAAGAGACAATTAGAATTTTAAATTTTTTTCTCTCTAGGACACCTATCATTCAGCTTTACACATAGTGCATTGCTCAGTGATGATACAGTTTATTTGAATGGTAGGAGTTTAGACTTGCTTCTAAACTGACCTAGGAATTAAGTGCTACTTTGCCATTTAACAGCTGGGCAAATCAATCAAACCCAGAAGACTGAATTTCCTCAGCTAAAAAATATGGACAATAGAGGAACATGTTGAATATTGGCTGTTGAGCTGTTGAAAAGGACCACTTATGTGAAATGATGCCTGTAAAATGATTAGCACAGCATACGAGTGCCCAATAAATGTTACCCACTGGTATGCAGTAGGAGGATAGCTTTTTGTCGAATGCCTGAATATTTCATTTGACGTATTCAAAATATGTTTATAAAAGTATTATGTTGAACCATGTGGAATTGCCTGTATGCTACCATTATTGGCTTTCAGAAACAAATTCCATATGATTCAACGTGTTAGCAGTAAAGCGATACCACACTGGGGCTCCTTCTCTCACAGAAGTCTCTTCTGGAAAGTAAGGAGTCTCTTCAGATATATAGATGTATACGAAATTTGGATTTCATTTTATGAGTGATATTTATGAATTCATAATTCACGTATGAAATTCATATATATTCAAACATATAGAAAATGTTATTCAAGAATGTCTTGTAAGGACAAATACATCTTTTGTTTGGATACAGCGGATGTTGGAACATTTTCTTTGAATAGGTATGAATAGACCTTACAGCTGGTATGAGTATCTCCAAAAGCCACAAATACCTGTGCTACAAACAGGGCTTTTGCCCTAGAATGATGGTTATAACATTGTTCTTCCTTCTCTATTCCTCTCACTATCAACACTCCCAAGTTAAGATTTTATCTTCCTCTTCAGGTGAGTCCACCTTTGTGCTAATAGATATGCCATGTAGGTCAATTAGGCCAGATATACCTAAAGTCAAGGCATTTTTATATAAACTCTCTTTTAACTGTAACAACTAATCTATGAGCCAGTGGTCATTCTTCATTCTATTTAAAGAGGGATTCTGCAATATAAGGGGACATAAGAAACTAGAAGTGGAACCAGATGTGACATAAAATCTTTCCCAGAAAATATCAGGTAGACCTGCCAGGCATTCCACCCACTCAGCAATTTAAATCTTTTTCAGTCTCAAGATAGATAATGGAAGGAATCAATGAATCAATATACTTTACTGAGCAGTCAATATGTGCCAGGCATTCCAGTAGGTTCTTGTACAGACATCGTTTCATTTTCACCTCACAACAACCTTGTAAAGAAGTGAGGTGTTATTCTGAACAATGGGGTCTTAGAGAGGGCAAGTGACTTAGCAAGATCACAAAACTAGTGAGTAGCAAAGCTGGAATTTGAGTACACGTCATTTATTCCAACATAGCTTACTTTCTACCATCTTTCTTGGAAGCATCATCTCCCCCAAATTATATGCTTTTTTTACATATGCATTGTCCTAAGATTGTTTGGTTGTATAACCAAACTTAGTTAAAAGACCACTTTTTAACTACCTTTTCTCCCCTTGTTATAAATGTTGTCTACAATTTAAATTGAGCAAAACTGACAAGGGAAGATAGGATTCAAGAGTTTTAAAAAGAACAAGAATAAGGGAAAATCTGGCCAACAGCCTTGTCCCTGCAACTCCACAGAGGAGATGGCATCTGAATCATCTTTGCATCCCCTACAGTACCTTGTATATTTAAATGATGTATTAAAAAATGACCCACTTGTGCAACCTTGGACAAGTAAGGCAATCTCTTTAGAAGAGACGGACCCAATAACCTGGGGGAGCTCTGATTCTGTGGGCATCTGTGACCTTCTGTGGCCACTAGTCAACTTGGACAGGAATTACATGAAGGACAAAGAACTCATGGAGCCATGTTCTTCATTGCATGATGGTAAACAGTCTCAGGAGATGATAAACCATCTTTCCAAAGACTAGCTATCCCCTGGGAGTTTTCTCTGAGCCATACTTATCTTAGAAAATGTTGACCACTACTTTAGTTGTTTTCTTTGGAATAATAAGGGAGGAGCTGATCCAAATCAGGATTGTATATTTGGGAAGTTTGGAAAATTATTTTTCATTGAGTAATAGCCAATCCATGGTCTAAATCAGTACATCTAAAACTTTTCTACTTAAGTACTAATTAATCAGCATGAGAGACAATTTATATTAAGGACTTGGTGAACAATTGGGAGTAAGAAATCTCTTGGAAATATTATGTTTTTATCCCCCCAAATTCATGCAGATCTTCCTCTTATGTATATATCTCCACTTTTTTATATGAAATAATTTTCCTAAAACCTTCAAGTTAAAATTGACCTTTTAACAAAACTGCACCGTGTTGATCCTGGGACTTCATTTTGTCCTGGACACAGTTTTGTTCCCTGACGACTCTAGAATATACACATTCTGGTTTAGGAAGCATGAACAGATCCAAACAACCCCACACCATCACTCCAGATTTATATAAAGAATTGTCAGCAAAGCATTCAGTTATTTGTTTGCACGATGTCCAACATTTGCTTCAATATTTTGACATCATATAGAAGGAATATCTGAAAGCTCCAGACCATCTTTTGAAACGTGTCTACTTGGTTTCTTCTTTGCAATAACAAAAGCACTTGATATAACCTAAAGTTGATATAGCTTCCAGATAGAACTTAAATCTTCATCTTGTCGCAATGAAGAGATCACAATGAGTGGGGAACTTTTCCATAAAGAAATGAAGAGAATAGTTAGATAATATGCTGGATAATGTGGTACTTGGATTTCTTATTCAGAACGCTGGTTTTCATAGTATTTCTCTACATTTGATTTCCTCTTCCCTTTTCTAGACCTTGTAATAAAATGAAGCCAATGTAGCCCACGCACTGCATTTAGACACAAGTGCTTTGAAGTTAGGTGGACTTATGCCCAAGAGGTTGGGTGGACTTCCTGTGCCAAAGGAGGTGGTAACTGAGAAAGAAAAATGAGCAGACAGCACCATTGGGACTTTTCATCTCTAGTGTCCTTATGAAATGACTTATTCATTTGTATCACCTTCATAGGTTTGGTTCAACCCAAAACAACTGTGTTGGTTTGGGGACTAGACTCTTACCCACCAGAAAGCAGGAGATTAAAACTGTAGGCTCCTATGAAAACTCTTTGGGCATCACTCAGGACACTGGGTCCTGGGTCACAGAGAACCTTCTCTTTGTTCCCGCTCTCTCTCATGAAGGATGAATTAAGCCAGTCTCCCTCCATCTTCACCCAAATATCATAGTTTTTAACCAAACCCTTTCTCCCTGCTCCTTATAAAAGAAGAAACGGAGGGGCACCTAGGTGGTGCAGTCAGTTAAGCATCTAACTCTTGGTTTCAGCTCAGGTCGTGATCTTCAGGGTCTTGATCTCAGGATCATGAGATAGAGCCCCGCATGCGGATCCACGCTCAGCACGGAGTCTGCTAAGATTCTCTCTCCCTCTCCCTCTGCCCTTCCCGCTCATGCTCTCTCACTCTCTCTCTCTCTTTCTCTCTCTCAAATAAATAAATAAATCTTTTAAGAAACAAGAAATAAGGGATATTCTTTTTGTTGCATTGTTAGGGGCAGCATTTACTAGATAAAACAATAGTCTAGATCGTAATTATGCCTCTCAAGTCTGAAAATAGTGTAATCTAACATTTTTGGTCTCAGATCTTAGGTGCTCTTTTTACCATAGACCATCTAGAGTTCTACCTATGGCTGAAATATCATCAAATAACGAAGCTACTTAGGAAATATGAAGCAGTATCGAGGGAGGCGGTATAGTATGAACCTAGATTAAGCATAAGAGCTCTGTGGTCAAGGGGCGCCTGGGTGGCTCAGTCGTTAAGCGTCTGCCTTCGGCTCAGGTCATGATCCCAGGGTCCTGGGATTGAGTCCCGCATCGGGCTCCCTGCTCTGTGGGGAGCCTGCTTCTCCCTCTCCTCCCCACTTGTGCTCTCTCTCTCACTATCTCTGTCTCTGTCTCTCAAATAAAATCTAAAAAAGGATAAAAAATAAAAAAAATAAAATCATAACACTCTGAGCAACACAGAATTTCAGAGAAAGGAGAGAGAGATTTAAACTGGAGTGGCCTGGGAAGATGTCATAAAAGAGGAACATGACCTAGAATTTGAAAGTTGGGCAGGATTTGTCTTAGGCAAAAGAGAGAAGATGAAATTTCTCACTGGAAGGAGAACAGAAGTATGTGAAACAGGAAGGAGAATGATGGAGAAGAGGTCAATGAGTCGACCATATGGTACATGACAGGGATAATTGGGGCCATAGTGTGATTAGCCTCAGTCAGGTCCAAGAGAGACTGGAATAATCAGGAGAGGAGCACGAAGATTGTCATATAAGCAACAGGAAGGCATTGAAGCAGATGGATAATGTGATCATGGAGAGCAGGATGCACGATGAAGGAAAAGAGGAAGGAAAACAGGAGAAGAGATAGGAGGTTATCACAAGAACCTAAATGTAAGATAACAGATAGGACCGACTGGGGCAGTGGGAAAGGACCAAAGCAATAGATATGAGAAATTTTTGTAGGACAAACGATCAGTATTTAGGAACAAATTGGGTAAAGGAGAGGAAGCAGGATGAGTCAATGACATCTCTCGGGGTTGAGCTAAATTGCGATGTGTGTTGTGTTATCAGTGTACCAGTACCACAGCTCTCTTAAAATTATAACATACATCTAATGACACTTTCCTTAGACGTTTTTGTTTCAAGTTTCACGTAATGAATTAAAACCCTATTTTATCTATTTTGTAACTTTGAACCTTAAATTGACTTTACTCGGGGCGCCTGGGTGGCTCAGTTGGTTAAGCGACTGCCTTCGGCTCAGGTCATGATCCTGGAGTCCCGGGATTGAGTCCCGCATCGGGCTCCCTGCTCCGCGGGGGGTCTGCTTCTCCCTCTGACCTTCTTCCCTCTCGTGCTCTCTGTCTCTCATTCTCTCTCTCAGATAAATAAATAAAATCTTTAAAAAAAAATTGACTTTACTCATTAATTCATTCAGCAAATACTCCTTGGAAAGCTTTCTATATCAGGCACTGTGCTAGGCACCAAAATCAAAGCAAAGAGCATCCAGATCCCCACCACTGAGGATTTCTTGGGCTTTGGTACTTGAGGGTAGAGGAGGAAGGGTGAGGGGTGGCAAACGTGTAAATTATAATATTCCATGATCTGCACTAACATGAAAGTGTGTGCACATAATCGCTGAGGTACCTCAGAAAGTGCTCTAACACTGAACAGGGGAGTACAAATGCATCATATTGCATGGGAGGTGCCTAAAGATGCATGTCATCTTTCCTTTATCCAGATCAAATACATTATCTATGGAAGAAATAAATACAACTGCAAAGATTCAGTTCTTCTTTCATCCATTCTCCGCTGACCCTAAGATCCAGGTGGGGATTTTTGTGGCCTTCCTGGTGATGTACCTGACCAGCCTCAGTGGAAACACCACAGTTGCAGTCCTTGTTCAAATCAACCACTCCCTCCACATCCCCATGTACTTCTTCCTGGCTAACCTGGCAGTTCTGGAAATCTTCTATACATCTGCCATTGCCCCCCTGGCCTTGGCAAACCTCCTTTCAATGGGCAAAACTCCTGTTTCCATCCCTGGATGTGGGACCCAGATGTTTTTCTTCATCTTCTTGGGTGGAGCTGATTGTGTCCTGCTTGCAGTCATGGCTTATGACCGGTTTGTGGCAATCTGTTACCCTCTAAGATACACCCGCATCATGAGCTGGCCCTTGTGTGTGGAGCTGATGGTAGGGTCTCTGGTGCTGGGTTTCCTGCTGTCACTGCCTCTGACTATTTTAATCTTCCATCTCCCATTCTGCAACAACAATAAGATCTACCACTTCTACTGTGACATGCCTGCAGTCATACACCTGGCCTGTGCAGACACACACGTTCACAAGACTGCCCTGTACATCATCAGCTTCATCATCCTAAGCATCCCCCTCTCATTAATCTTCATCTCCTACGTCTTCATCATGGCAGCCATTCTACGGATCCGGTCAGCGGAAGGGCGCCACCGAGCCTTCTCTACCTGCTCCTCTCACATCTTAGTGGTCCTCCTGCAGTATGGCTGCACCAGCTTTATATACTTGTCCCCCAGTTCCGGCTACTCTCCTGAGATGGGCCGGGTGGTGTCCGTGGTCTACACCTTCATCACTCCCATTCTAAACCCCTTGATCTACAGTATAAGGAACAAGGAACTGAAAGATGCCCTAAGGAGGGCACTGAAGAAGTTCTAGGTAGGATGATCCCATGGCTTGTCGGAATCGGATGCTCAAAGTGAATGGGGATGCTATTAATAACTATGCTGAGACAACATGCATGAGCCAGGAATGTCCTCAGCAAACTGAGACATGGCCCACTATTCTAGGATCACCGGAGGAGATGAATGCTACTGTGTAATGGAAATAAAGCTGTATCATGGAGGGCAGCCTGATGTCCTGGGCTTGGATGGAGGAGAATCAACACTTATTGGACACCTGCTATATACTAAGCACTTTATATGGGTTATCTCAAGTAGCCCATAGTAAGTACCATTGTCTTCATGTTTGATATATCCAGGATGAGAACACAAGTATTTAAAAATCTAGGGGCACCTGGGCAGCTCAGTCAGTTGAGCATCCAACTCTTGATTTTGGCTCAGGTCATGATCTCAGGGTTGTGAGACTGAGCCCACAACATGGAGCCTACTTAGGATTCTCTCTCTCCCTCTCTCTCTGCCCCTCCACTCCCTCTCTCTCTCTCCATCTCTAAAAAATAATAAATAAAATAAATAATAAATAAATTTCTAAAAATCTAAAGACTAAGCTATCTTCAAACAAAAATGTTGGCCAAGGAGGCCCTGAATGGCAAGAGAAAGAAAGAAAGAGAGGGAGGGAGGGAGGGAGGGAGGGAGGGAGGGAGGAAGGAAGGAAGGAAGGAAGGAAGGAAGGAAGGAAGGAAGGAAGGGAGAGAGGGAGGGAGGGAGGGAGGGAAGAAGGAAGGCTTTGCAGTTGGCCAAAGGAAGGGAGACTTTTTCTTTTCTTTTTTTTACATGTTTTTGTTTTGTTAACCAAAATGAAAACTCATGATTCTGTTCATAACTTTTAAAGAGCACCCCAGCAATAAAAAGGGTAATAATAATGGAGGAAAATGTTATTTAATTTAGTAAGTGAAAATACGGGAAAAGAAGTGGGCCTCATTGAATCTTGACTCCTCAAGAATCCCTTCTACACCATCTCAGTGTTCCAGACTCTGCTTGAGCTTCCAAGGAGAGAGATCATTCACTTGGAAGACACCACATTCCTTGTTGGACAACTCCGGTTGTTAAAGTACCACACATTAGTTTGAGCTAAAGTCCATCTACAAGCAACTTCCTCCCACTGATCCTATTTTGACCCTCTAGAGCTTTCTTCTCCCTGACAATTCTCCCAAGTATCCAAGTATTAGGACAGATTTTGTATCTTCCTTAAGTCTTTAGTCCTCTTTTCTCTAGAGCAAATACTCCATCAGTTTTCTCTCCAGGAGATCATATTTAAATGCTCTCACACCAGTCACCTTCTAGATTTTCCCTAGCTCCATATCCTTCTACAAGTTTTCACCCAGAAATAAACACAATGCACTGAGAATATTTTGTTCTGGGGAACTGTTACTTATCATGACCTGTGAACTACATTTCTATCAATTGACCTTGATCACTTTAGCCTCTCATAAATTTGGTATCAAATAAAATCTCCATATCATTTCATTTGACTTTCAATTCTGCCTGATCACAATTTATTTTACTAACATACATGTAGGACTTTTTTTTTTTTAGAGAGAGAGAGAGTGAGCGCACTCATGAGTGGGGGTGGGGGCGGAAGGACAGAGGGAGACAGAGAGAGAGACTTTTTTTTTTTAAAGATATATTTTTTTAAGATTTTATTTATTTATTTGACAGAGAGAGACAGCGAGAGAGGGAACACAAGCAGGGGGAGTGGTAGAGGGAGAAGCAGGCTTCCCGCAGAGCCGGGAGCCCGATGCGGGGCTCGATCCCAGGACCCCGGGATCACGACCTGAGCCGAAGGCAGACGCTCAACAACTGAGCCACCCAGGTGCCCCTGGAGAGAGAGACTCTTAAGCAGGCTTCACACCCAGCACAGAGTCCAACAAGGGGCTCAATCTCACCACCCTGAGATCATGACCTGAGATGAAATCAAGAGTCAGACACTTAACCAACTGAGCTACCCAGATGCCCCTGTAGGACTTTTCATTTAACACTGATATATTGTTTTGTTTTGTTTTGTTTTAATTGCCACAGTCATCCTCAGGATTTTATTCATCATAGTTTTGTGGCATGGTCAAAATTACAATCATATTTCATTTCCTTTGTCCAAATCATTAACCAATATCCACGGTAAAATACAACAAGTGAGCATCTATGGTAGTCCTCCTATTTGGGAATTGTCCAACTAGCTAGAAATATGCTCAATTAATAACATTGGTGGTACATTGTCACAATATGACCACCGCCCCCTTCCCCTATGGCTATGTGACTTGCTTTGGCCAATGGGACATTAGCAAATATATTGCAAGCAGAGGCTTACACTTACCCTTTGGCGTCTGTCCTCTCTTGCTGCCCTGTGACTGTCACATGAAGATGTTGGGGCTAGGATAACACCTAGAGATAGGCCATCAAGAAGGTTCCCTAGACCAACCCCAGTCCATCCTCCAGATGATTGCAGTCACATTAGTGATTCCGGCAGAAGAACTACCCAGCCGAACGAGCCTAAAATGTTGACCCACAGAAACATGGGCCAAGAAAATGATTGATATTGTAAGTCATTAAGTTTGAACTGGTATATTTTGCATCAAAAAATAACCAATTCTTGGGGCACCTGGGTGGCTCAGTTGGTTGAGCAACTGCCTTCGGCTCAGGTCATGATCCCGGAGTCCTGGGATCGAGTCCTGCGTCGGGCTCCTGGCTCGGCGGGGAGCCTGCTTCTCCCTCTGACCCTATCCCCTCTCATGCTGTTTCTCTCTCTCTCTCTCTCTCTCTCAAAATAAAAATAAATAAAGTCTTAAAAAAATAATAATAACCAATTCACCATCCAATCTGTAATAAACCATCTCTCCAAGAAGAATATCATGGAAAGCCTATCAAATCTTTTCATACAATCAAAATACATTACAGTACGGATATAAATCTAACCATTGAAAAGCCTTATTTTTTTTTTGTTTCTCAAATAAATTTTACTTTTTTAAAGTTTTTAAAATTTTAAAATTATTTTATTATGTTATGAAAAGCCTTATTTTAAAAGGAAAGTGTATTTGGCACGATTTATCTTGGGTCACTTCATACAGGCTCTTCTTAGTAATCACCAGGCTTTTCAAAATGCCTACGAATTATTTATTTAATCACGCGTTTCCAGAATTTTACTAGGGATTCGCATTGAGATGGCTTATTGTTTTGAAACCCACTGGTAGTTTATACATTTCGTTTATATCTTCATCTGAATGGGAAAAGAAACATTCAATAGTTGTGAGTATCTTGGGAATGGAGAATATGCCATTTATTCTTGAATTTCCAGCACCTAGTGCAGTGGCTAGCATTTATTAGACTCAGCTGATTTACTATGAAGAGATAAATTACACCTAGGGAGAGTGCCTTGCCGCTCATAAAAATTGTATGTTCTTGGGGCGCCTGGGTGGCTCAGTCGGTTAAGCGACTGCCTTCGGCTCAGGTCATGATCCTGGAGTCCCGGGATCGAGTCCCGCATCGGGCTCCCTGCTCGGCGGGGAGCCTGCTTCTCCCTCTGACCCTCCCCCCTCTCATGGGCTCTCTCTCAAATAAATAAATAAAATCTTTAAAAAAAAAAATTGTATGTTCTTTATACGAAAGGATTGTGTTCTACCCTTTTTCTACCATTTTTATCCTTCACTGCTCGTTTAGCAGTGGTGGTACTCCATAAATATTTGTGGAATTGAACAGGACTAGCTTTGGAGATAATTTTTTTCTGGTTTTCAGGGTTTTTTTTAATGCTACTGATAAATGTCCATTCTTATTAAAAACTTTTTTGAAACATTTATTGCTATTACTAATTTTTTAATGCTTTATTTGATTCTATATCGGTAAGTCCTATGTTCCCTAAGACTTACAGATAATAAAAAAATACAAATGGGAACTATAAAATATCCATCTGAAGGAAGTGGGTAACTATTATTACTGCATATTAAAAGAATATCATATAATTTGCTATATTTAACCCAATTTTAGCAAGGGTATTTTTTTAAAGATTTTATTTCTTTATTAGAGAGAGAGAGACACAGCGAGAGAGGGAACACAAGCAGGGGGAGTGGGAAAGGGAGAAGCAGGCTTCCTGCTGAGCCGGGAGCCTGATGTGGGACTCGATCCCAGGACCCTGGTACCATGACCTGAGCCGAAGGCACTTAACCAACTGAACCACCCAGGCACCCACAAGGGTATTTTTAAACTGCCATCATTCATAGAAAAATTTTGAGAATTTGTAACTCTCACTTGCTGCAGAGGGGATGTTATTGATGCTGTTCCTTTTCATTCCAAAAGTAAAGAGCCAGGGATGCCTGGGTGGCTCAGTCTGTTAAGTGTCTCAGGTCATGATCCCAGGGTCCTGGGATGGAGTCCTGCATAGGGCTCCCTGCTCAGCGGGGAGCCTGCTTCTCCCTCTGCCTGCTCTGCCTGCCCCTTCCCCTGTTTGTGCACGCGCTCTCTCTCTGACAAATAAATAAATAAAATCTTAAAAATAATAATAATAAAGAGCCAAAGGGACAGGCATACTCTGCAATTACACCCAGAAGAAAATCCCAAACAGACTCTCAGGTTTCTTTCATCCTTTTACAGTATTGCAGTGTTTAGAAGCAGAGGAAAGAGGATAATGAAGAAAAGGTGAGGGGCACTTGGGTGGTTCAATTGGTTAAGCGTCTGCCTTCGGCTCAGGTCATGATCCCAGGGTCCTGGGATCGAGCCCCACATCAGGCTCCCTGCTCCGCGGGAGCCCTGCTTCTCCCTCTCCCTCTGCTGCTCTCCTTGCTTGTGCTCTCTCTCTCTTTCTCTCTCTCAAATAAAATCTTTAAAAAAAAATGAGTCAGAAGACACTAGAAAAACAAATCAGGTGAGGACATGGAGATAGGGCTGACAGAGGAAAGCAGGATGTCTGAGAAACCTGTGGGGGGTGTGAAAGATGAGAGGAGTTATGGGTTATTGCAACGGGCATCAGAGCATCTACCATAGTTCTCTGGAAGAAGCATCATGGGGTTGAGATTCAGAGACATGGAGACATGGTTTCTAGAAGCCGTAAGCTGGGAAAGTCACTATCATCCTTCAAGCCTCTGTCCCAGTATCTAGAAAATAAGAGGATTAAGCTTATTAGTATCTAAGATATCTAAGAGCACTGACTTTGATTCATTAATTCTCCTGAGTTCTATTCAATTCTCGGGCCATTTGTCCTCACCTTGGACAGGTTTCTGTGGTGCTTTTACCCCACAGTAATAGATTTTAGCTGCTTCTCAATCAGCAAGTGAAAATGAACAACGTGGGCATGACAAAATGGGATAGCAGTTATCCTTGTCTTCTCCCAAGTAGGACAGAAAGTCCGAGGGCTGGGGTTCTTTGGGTCTCTGACTTGGGAAACACACCCTCCCAAAGGTGGTTTCATTCTGAGGTCTTTTTAAAGTCAGATGTTGCCATATGACTTTCTCATTATTTGAAAAGAAATGAGGGGCGCCTGGGTGGCTCAGTTGGTTAAGCGACTGCCTTCGGCTCAGGTCATGATCCTGGAGTCCCAGGATCGAGTCCCGCATCGGGCTCCCTGCTCGGCAGGGAGTCTGCTTCTCCCTCTGACCCTCCTCCCTCTCATGCTGTCTCTCATTCTCTCTGTCTTAAATAAATAAATAAAATCTTTAAAAAAAAAAAAAAAGAAATGAGTGTTTGCTTCACAGCACAGTTTACTAAGACTGGAACGATACAGAGATTAGCATGGTGCCTGCACAAGGATGACATGCAAATTCATGAAGCATTCCATATTTTTAAAAACAAAAGCCCAAACTCATAGATACAGAGAATGTATTCATGGTTGCCAGAGGTAGCGGATGAAGGGTTGGCCAAAAAGGGTGAAGTGGGTCAAAAGGTACAAACTTCCGGTTCTGAAATAATAAGTCCTGGTGATGCAATGTACCACATGGTGACTATAGTTAACAATACTGTATTGTACATTTGATAGTCGCTAAGGGAGGAGATCTTAAAAGTTCTCATCACAAGAAAAAGAATTGTAACTGTGGTAACATATACGAACTGTATTTTATTGAGCTGTTCAGCTCAGTGACACTTCATCTAAATAGTCTTTCCTGACCACCCTCCCCACCCCCACACGAGGACAAGTGACCACACCATCCCCCGTGTTCCCTCTGTACCTTGTGTATAACTCCATCACAGCACCTGTAACACTTGTAGTGCCCTTATTTATCTCCCTCAAGTACACTGTGACCTCTTTGGAGGAAGAAACTATCTCCATTAGCTTGATGCCTAGAGATCTCAAAAATATTGAATTAATTTATGAATCCTTAATTTACAGCCATGCATTCAGGGCCAGCTCAGTTTTTGCCTCCACGTGAAGCATTGTGTGACTTTTCTTGTCCCTCCCTCCTCTACGATAACATCCCTTTCAAGGGATAGTCTCGCATTGGACCTTACTCACATTTCATGCCCTTGTGTTTTATCTCCCAAGTCAGATGCTGACCTCATTGATGGCAGAGACCACACCTAATATGTCTTAGAATATCTCACAAAACTTGCCACAGTGAATAGGTGGCAGTCAAAAAAATCATCTGGAAAACTACAGGTTAAATAACCTAATGGAAGAAATTGAACACACCAATCAAAGTACAGAAATACTTCAAAGACTAACACAGACCATATAAAGTACCATCCTTCTTAGTTGTCCACCACTGCTCTTCATGAAACATGTAGGATGACACACTACGCCCAGGGTGTATCATCCAACTATTCTTTTGTGACTTTCAGGATTCCCAGCCTCTGTGTCATACCCTTGCTTTCAGTGATCCCAGGAGGTGGGGAGGCCCCCAGCTGTGCACAGAGACTTTCTTTACCCATAGTACCTAGGTGTTTCTGCTTCAGTGACAACATCTCAATAGCAAAAGTCTGAGTCTCTTATGGTATACATCCATGATAATATGTATTTCTTCCAGTTGACTCAATTAAGAAATGAAGAGAAGTGAGGAACTTCCCAGCATGAACAACAAATGCATGTTAGCACCCTTATTTACACACCTTCCAAGAAGAAACTCCAGGCTACCCTTCACAGGATGCTTGGCGAAATTATTCTTTTTATTATAGAAAGAAGGAAGGAAGGAAAGAGAGAAAGGGAGGGAGGGAAGGAAGTAGGGAAGAAAGAAAGGAAAGAAGAAAGAAAGAAAGAAAGAAAGAAAGAAAGAAAGAAAGAAAGAAAGAAAGAAAGAAAGAAAGAAAGAAAGAAAGAAAGAAAGGAGACAAGAGGTAGAGAGGGAGAGAGAAATGGAGCCTAGATCAAGATACTTTCCCTATTACCTCTCTTTAGAGAATGCATGAAGTATGGCTTATTTATAACATAAAGTAATGAGTTAGTTCTGCTCCAGTTGCAATGATCCTTCAAGTCTTGGTAACAACTATCAATAATTCCTTCCTTCATTCATTTAACAGCTATTTATTAATCATCTACTATGTATAGCAACCTCCAACATAGTGGGAACGCAACAGACTGAACAGAGAAGATCTTTGCCCTTGTGAAGGTTACAATCTAATGGGAGGGGCAGGCAGTAAACAAATAAAAAAAGATCATGATAGACTACAGTAGTTGCTATGAAGGCAGTAACCATGGTGAAGGAATAAGAAGTAACCGAGCGGGGAATATCCACTTTAGGTAAGACTGAATGTGTGCACACTGCACTCAATTTCCCCCATTGTTAACACAACTATAGTACATTTGTCATAACTAATTCACCAACATTGACATGTTATTACTAACTAAAGCTCATACTTTATTCAGATTACCTTATTTTTTTACCTAATGTCCAAGTGTTCAAGGATCCCATCAAGGATACCACACTACATTCAGTCATCATGTCTCTTTAGGTCCTTCTTGGCTGTGAGTTTCTTAGACTTTCCTTATATTTGATAACTGTGGCAGTTTGAGAACTCCTGGTGAGGTATTTTGTAGAATGTCCTTCAAATTGAATTTGTCTGAGTTACAGGTTTTTGGAAGAAAGACGCAGAGGTAGACTGTCATTCTCATCACATTATATCAAGGGTACATACTGTAAACATGACTTCACTGTTGATGTTGACTTTGATCACATGGCAGAGGCAGTATTTGTCAGGTTTCTCCAGTGTAAACTTACTCTCTTTTCTCCTTTTCCATACCGTATTCTTTTGAAGGAAGTCACCATATTCAACCCACACTTACAGAGTAGGGAGTCATGCTCCCCCAACTGAGGGGGGAATATCTACATAAATTATTTGGAATTGTATTGTATGGGAGATTTTTTCTATGTTCTCTCATTTAAATTTTTATTTAGTTACATATTTATACCAGCATATAATCATGAATAGGTTATAATTCATTGCTTTATTTTTTAGACTGTGAATATTTTTACTTATTACAGATGAGAAGAGAAGAAAGATGAAAAAAATGAAGGAATGGAGCAATGGGGGAGATAGAAAACAAGGAAAGAGAAGAATAATCATCACAAGACTTCCTTTTCTTGGCTTGGTCTTTTTTTTAAGATTTTATTTATTCCTTTGAGACAGAGAGAGACAGAGAACATGAGCGGGGAGGAGGGGGGAAGAAGCAGACTCCCTGCTGAGCCAGGAGCCCCACATGGGGCCAATCCCAGGACCTGGAGATCATGACCTGAACCAAAGGCAGACGCTTAACTGACTGAGCCACCCAAGCACCACTTGGCTTGGTCTTTTAAACATACATCCAATTCAGAGAAGAGATGTGGGTCAAAAATTAGATCAAGAATTCAGGCACTGAGTGCCTCCTATCTCTCTTCTAACTTCATCCCATACCCAACATCAGATATTAGATGAGATCCTGAGACCTAAAGAGGGAAAAGACATGCTCTTCTAAGTAGCTCGTAGTCTAGAGGGGGTAACAAACATGTTAACAAACCACCATGATTTGATGCAACAAAGGCTAAGAGTGAAATATGAATAAAGTGCTGTGAGAGCCACGGAGGGGAGTGGACTGCAGCATGGAGTAACCGACCAAGCCTTCACAGATATGGTACTGGAGCATATGAGGAGATGAGCTAGAGTTTCCCAGGATAAGAATTGGAAAGGAGCACCAGAGAGAGAGAGCAAGGTTCACATTTGGACTGCCATGAGGAGCTAATAGCATTGTTTATCTTATCATTAGGAAAGACAGTATATTTATTTTCCCAAGGTATCAAGAATCTGAGGAATAAAATAATCAAGATATGATAATCAATCATGGTTCTGTAAGACATAAGAGGAAAAAGAATATAAAATTGTGCAGTCTTAAAAATGAGTTGTGCCAATGCATGAAACAAGAAAATATCTCTCAACTATTGACCCCAGTATTTGGGGACTGGTATCCTTTATTTAGATGTATGCGGTGTCTTTGTTTACAGTTATTATCTGAGTTCTCTTTGCTAGAGTTAATAAACAAATTCAACTTTATTCTTGAGTCTGATGATTATGCCTTAAGGTCACACAGTATCATTTGAGAATTATTATATCATGCCCACATACATATCCCTAAAGGTCCTAACTTCATTTAATAAGGCCCAGGGTAATGAAGCTGGTGAACAGATAATTATTGAGCTGAAGCCTGGTCTCCTGACAAATCTCTTGCTCCAATGTCAACATTCAAAACTCCAACTTCCATTTCTGGTTCTTGTCCAGGTTTTGAAACTAATTATTTCTTTTGTTCACTTCTTTCTTAATACCTATGGGCTTTGATTATTCCCTTTACCAGCTTCCTTCATTAAGATGAATGAAAACAGACAATGCTACACTTCCAGATGACTTACCCTTTTGAACATCAAATAGAGACTTCGCTATATACAGAACTTTTTCATATATAAAGCTATTCCAAGAATATTATCATGTTTATCCTTTTAACAGAATCCCTATTAAACTGACATTATGATACCCATTTGTGAGATTGAGAAATGGAGCATCCAGATAGTTAAGGCATTTGCCCAAGATCACCTAGCTAGTAAGGAACAAAAGCAAAACTTCAACTTAAATGTTTTGATTAAGTCCAGCTCACATTGAAGGCAGCGTAACGGTTCCCAAAATAATCTGTTTGGATATACTGCATGGCTCTAAATATAAAACTCCATGATCTATTCTGTCATCTGCTTTATGAAAACTTGGCTTCCACATTTTAATTGGTCCATTTCCTCTCACCAAATTTGCACACAGTGCAGAACATCAACCTACAGAGACAGTAAACAAATGAACCTAACGACGGCAAGCAAATGTTGGTATTATGCCTTCTGTGAAAAATTAATTTTCAGTTCCAAAATTTTGCATTAGTCATTTTACCAACAATTATTTGTGATATATAGAGGGCCCTTAGATATCATCTAACACAGCTTCCTAATTTTTGCAACAACAACAACAAAAAGTAGGAAGGACTCTCAGAAGGTAACCAGGCTAGTGAGTGGCAACACCAGACCTAGAACCCAGGCCACCCTGGTTATCAGCCCAGTGCTCTTTCCAACTGACCATAAGAAACTAAAGAACACAACAATTTCCCACAGCCTGCTGTCTAGAACATGATATTATAGTTATTAACCTTGGTTCTAGCTAGGAATTTGGTCTCAGAAATATTAATAATATTTTTCAATTGTATAGCAAATTTCCATTTACAGAATGTCCTCATATGCACTTGATCCTCAAGATCAAACTGTTCCTAGTTTGTCATTATATTATGCTCATTTGGCAAATGAAGAGTACACTCAGTTTGAGTGATTTGCCCAAGATCTTCCAATAGCAAGTATGCTACTGTTTCTAATTTTGTATGCTTCCTTTTCTGTAAACTAATAATAGGACTATCGGGGAAGATTGCATATCCATATAAGTAACCTGACTTGCCCAGCAACCTAAATTCATGTTTAAATTTAAATTTGACATTATTTTCATTATAATGAAAAAATATATATTATATATATTATAATAATATATAATATATAAATATATTAAAATATATATAAATATATAAATAAATATATATAAATATATAATATATATAAATAATAATATATAATATATAAAAATCATCCATAATTATTAAAGTATTTAAATGGATAAAAATAAAATGTTCTTAAAAATTAACTTTATTCCCAACACTAAAAAACAACTGTTTTTAACATTTTGTGAAATTTCCATTTGATCTCTTGTACAGCATATTTTTAACATACGTGTAATTATACATTATCTTTTTTCACTAAAAGTTATATTCATTTCCTATGTCATTACAAACCTTTTATAGACAGTTTTTGATAACTAAGATTCTATCATGTTCTTTTTTTAAGAGGCTGGTTTTTTTTGTCTTTTTTTTCTGTGCTCACTTACTTTATTTCTTAAATTTCACCTATGAGTGAAATTATACAGTATCTGCCTTTCTCTGACTTACTTATTTATACTTAGCATTATACCCTCTAGATCCAACCACACTGTTGCAATGGCAAGATTTCATTCTTTTTTATGGCTGAGTAATATTCCATTGTATATATATACCACTTCTTTATCCATTCATCTATTGAAGGACACTTGGGCTGCTTCCATAATTTGGCTATTGTAAATAATGCTACAATAAACATAAGGATGCTTATATCTTTTTGAATTAGTGTTTTCACATTCTTTGGGTAAATACCCAGTACGTGTAAGTCTATTTTTAATTTTTTAAGGAACCTCCATACCATTTTCCACAGTGGCTGTACCAGTTTGCATCCCCACCAACAGGGCACGAGAGGGTTCCTTTTTCTCCACATCCTTGCCAACACTCATTTCTTGTGTTTTTGATTTTAGCTATTCTGACAGGCATGAGGTGATATCTCACTGTGGCTTTGGTTTGCATTTCCCTGATGACAACTGATGTTGAGCATCTCTTCATGTGTCTGTTGGCCATCTGTATGTCTTCTTTGGAGAAATGTCTGTTCATATCTTCTGCCCATTTTTAACTGGATTGTTGTTTTTGGTGTTGAGTTGTATGTAAGTTCTTCATATATTTTGGATACTAACCCCTTATGGGAGATGTCATTTGCAAATATCTTTTCCCATTCAGTAGGTTGTCTTTTTGTTTTGTTGATTGTTTCCTTTGCTGTACAGAAGTTTTTATTTTAATATAGTCCCAATAGTTTATTTTTGCTTTTGTTTCCCCTGTCTCAGGAGACATATCTAGAAAAATGTTGCTACAGCCAATGTCAGAGAAATTCCTGCCTGTGCTCTCTTATAGAATTTTATTTCTATCATGTTCTTAAGAAATTATTAGTTCAAGGGATTGTGGCTATGCTTTTTAAAAAAAAAATATCTCAGGGACTCCTGGGTGGCTCAGTTGGTTAAGCATCTGCCTTCGGTTCAGGTCATGATCCCAGGGTCCTGGGATCAAGTCCTGTGTCGACGTCATCGGGCTCCCTGCTCAGTGGGGAATCTGCTTCTCCCTGTCCCTCTGCCCCTCCCCTGCTCATGCACACTCTCTCTCTCAAATAAGTAAAATCTTAACAATTTTTTAAAATTTTCTCAGAGATAGATCCTAAAGGGCATGATATCCAGGAGATTAAATAATCCACTCAAGGGAGTGAATGAAAATATAAATGAAAGAAAGGTAGCCAGGAGTTGATAACTAGTGAAGCTGAGTAATGGGTACATGGGGGTTCATTGTACTCTTCTAGCTGCTTTAATATTTTTGCCATTATCCCACAATAACAAGGTTTTTTTAAAAGAAAAACATCTCATCGTGTGATTGGAAAAGTGTGGTAGATTTGGACTGTTGTTTTCAATTCTGTCGTCACTCCCTCTGCCATGTATCCCTTCAGTGGCAGAGTAAATTGGCTGGTTCCACTGACATTGGTCACGTGACTCTGACCAATGGAATACTAGTGGGCATGATGGCACACAGGTTTCAGACATGCTTGCTTAGTTTGACTAATCCCCTCACCTTCCTGTATCACAATGAGGAAAGCATGCCCCAGGAAGCAGCTGACCCATCAATCCCAAAACAAGATCTGTGCAGCAGACCTGAACATAATCTAAAGCCTGGATCCAAGCGTAGCCAGCCTGTAACCTAAAGCAGAGCTGCCCCAGCTGACATAAAATCACCTGTATAAACAAATAAAAATATAAGAAAATCATTAAATAAATACTTACAAGTTACTAGGTTTGGGATTTGTTTGTTATATGACATTTTTGCAGCAATCACTGATTAATACAGAGTCAAACCATTCCCCAAAACTGAACATTTTAGATATTTCCAGTTTTACAATAATACCTATAATGAACTTGTTTTTTGTACATAAAGCTTCTCCACTTCTTCTGGTCATTAAATTCAGGTACAGTGTTATGATGCTGTTTATATAGGTAGGCTGAAGAGTTTACTGGTGGATATTTTTCTAAAATGGAAAATTATGAAAAGAATTAAAACAAACTCATTCTTGGGCACCTGGGTGGCTCAGTTGGTTAAGCGACTGCCTTCGGCTCAGGTCATGATCCTGGAGTTCCGGGATCGAGTCCCGCATCGGGCTCCCTGCTCGGCAGGGAGTCTGCTTCTCCCTCTGACCCTCCCCCCTCTCATGCTCTATCTCATTCTCTCTCTCAAATAAATAAATAAAATCTTAAAAAAAACTCATTCTTCATTTCTTGATTTCAGAAAGATTGTAAATAAAGTTTTTGTTTTCTTTCTTGACATTCAAAAATACTCTTTCCTATTCTTTGTAGGGCTTGGCAAAACTAGTTCCTGTTACTTTCTCACGTTCTTTTCCTCCTGCCCAAATCCCAAAGACCAAAAAAGTACAGAAGGAGCATCCAGTGTTGAGTGGTGGACTTCACTGCAAATACAGGGATTTTTAGTTTGATTTTCTAGAGATTGATATCTCTGTATGTATATATCCAGTATGTTCAGTTTACAAAAATTGTAAATGAACCACTGAATCCCATCCGTAGATCCATTATTCACCTGGAAAACTCAGGAGTAGGTGGCCAACTACTAAATGAGCCAAAAGGCATTACAATATCTATGAGCAATGGAATCCAGTGTCCCATGTTGTAACAACTTGTGAATAATTACCGGAGGAAAAATTCTGGGGCTTCTTCTGAGTCATCATTCTGATGAGAATTCTCATTGTTCTGATGAAAATTCCAACTATGTTTTGTTATTGTATCCAAAACAAGGAGGGAGTAAAGGTAGGGAGAGAGGGAGGAGAAGAAAGGGAAAGAGGAAGAGGGAGGGGAAAGCAAATAAAGAGAAGGAGTTCTTGTTGTCCCTGGAGGTCAGGAAAATCACATTTTTTTTTTCAATAGCTAATATAGTAGTTGCTAGAGAAAGAGAATAAAAAAGAATGAGGAGGGAGGATGAGGGGGTAGAGGGGGAGGAAATGAAGAAAAAGAAGGGGAGATGTGAGAAGTAGCTGTTTCTGGAGGTTAGAGTTAGGGTTAGGGGCCAAGGTATGTGTGTCGGGGGGGGCGGTTAATATCTAACACATAACTGCTAGACAGAAAGGTTAAAGTCACAGAGGATCCTGGCTAGCTTCTCAATAATTCCAATTAATGATATGCACTTGAAACCTGTTGGTTCCTGTGCAATGCTATTTTACAACAGTGACCCTCATAGTGCATGCAGGTCCCAGGACCAGGAGCATCTGCATCACCTGTGAACCTGTTACAAATGCAAATTCTCAGCCCCGCCCCAGCAAATCTACTTAATCAGAAGTAGGAGAAGGTAGGGCCCAGCAATCTGAGGTTTAACAAGCCTTCCATGTGATTCTGATACATAATACAGCGTAAGAGCCACTGATCTAGAAAGTAGTCCAGTTGGGAAGGGATCAACATTGACGGCAATCCCCAAATCTTTACCATCTGTTCCCCATCCTCATTCTCTTCTGGAGACTAGAGCTGGCAGGGTTACTATCAACCCTAGTCTCAGTAATTTCTCTGGTTATCAGATTCAAAGTGTTGGAAATTCTTTGACCACCACCACTCCACCCCTTTATGTTGTAACTTCAATGTTAGTTCAATTTTCAAAGCCTTTGATGTGATATTCAGATATGTTCCACATGTGTTCTACCCAGTGGCCAGTCTGGCACCTGGAAGGTGGTTTATCTCTTAGTTCCATCTAAGTCTTCAAAGTCTCTAGTGTGCTGTTTGGATTCCTTTCCACCCATTTGTGACTCAGGGGTGAGCCCAAGAATTCATAAACAGCTTTATCAGGTCACTTTCCTGAGATCCTCCCTCTGCAAAATCTGCCTGGTACTTTCCAGTTCCCTGGGTTCTCCTGCTTGGTCAGAAGGCTAAGGTTTATTTACCTACTCTGAAGGGAATTTCCCTTGACTGCACCCAGGTCTGGGTCCAAATGGCAGGAAGATGGGAGAGAGAAAAAAAAATCCACAGGGATTCACCTTACCTTCTAGAGACAACAAGTTCTTTGATTGGAGAAAAAGGTATCTTTCCCCCTGAATTTTAGGTGCCTGTGGGTCCCACCGCTGTCATTGTCACCAGCAGGAGATCCCTTTCTCACTCTTCCAGTCTGAACTAGATGGTTCCTCTTGGAGTCCTGTCTATCCATGCCAATACCCACTTCTGGGTTTCAGGCTGCCCTGAGTCCAGGCGAGGGGACATAGGAGAGGGAACAAAAAGGGGCAAACCAACCACCAGGTCAGCTGTCCTCCAAATCTGGCCTTCTTTCCCAAACTACCTGTTACTATTTGCTTTTCAGAGCCCTCAGATGGCTGCTCCTTGCTTTCTGTCCAAGTTTTTTAGCTGCATTCAGTGGGAGGGACAGGGTAGATGATGCTTACTTCATTTTACCAAAACCAGAACTAATGAAGATATTCCTTTTTTATAGAACTAAAAGCTATCTCTCTATAATTTCTTCTTGTTGGGTTTTGTTTTACATTCTGGGATTTCATAAAAGAGAACTTATTTTTTTGTCCCTCTAAAGGTTGCTATATCTTCAAGTTTCCTGTTCTCAAAGCCAAAATGGAAAAGGTAGAGGTTTTATAGAGTTTATGTTTCTTATTTTATGGTAAATAAACTCAAACCACAGGTTGACTTGGTAGCTACAACTTGTGGAGTATCCAAGTTCAGTTGCTTTTTTTAAATCTCCATTTGAGGTTGAAAAGCAGACATTGCACAAAGTTTCTTTTCAGGATTGGTGGGACTCTTACATTTGGAGATAATCTTAGTCACCCCCCCAAAAAATGCTTCTTATTTTGGCTTAGAGATGAACCCCATAATCACCGATTGTGGTCTCAGTCTTCCTCCAGCTAAATTCTGCAACAGCACTGGTCCCTGGTTCCTGGTCTTCTGGAGAAGAACATAGTTTGCATTCTTTATGGCTTTTGGCAATTCTATATATATATTTTTCATTATGTTGTTGTTGTTAATCACCATACATTCCATCATTAGTTTTTGATGTAGTGTTCCATGATTCATTACTTGCGTATAATACCCAGTGCTCCATGCAGAACCTGCCCTCTTTAATACCCATCGCCAGGCTAACCTATTTACTATCTGATTTTTAAGTTGTTCTAATCATTACTACAATGTGATATGTTCATCTCTGGCTCTTCTATAGCATCAATATCTAGTCTCCTGAGATTTTCCTATTGTCTCTTAGGCTCTCATTAACTAATGCCATTTTCCGGTGAAGTTTCTTTTAAAACCTCTTGTCTCAGGGCTCCTGGGTGACTCAGTCAGTTAAGGGTCTGCCTTTGACTCGTGTCATGATCCAGGGGTCCTGGGATCAAGCCCCACATCAGGCTCCCTGCTCAGCGGGGAGCATGCTTCTCCGTCTCCCTCTCCCCCAACTCATGCTCTCTCTCACTAGCTGGCTCTCTCTCTCAAATAAATAAAAACTTAACCTTTTGTCTCAGCAAGAGCAGTCCTCATTCTCTTTCAAAGTTCTGCATCTTTGTGGGACAGTTCCTGTAGGTTCCTGTTTATTGTCTCCTCCTCTCAGGTCAGTTGCACACTTAAAATGCTAATACATCATCTAGCACAAAGAGAACACTCAAAATAAATATTTGTTGAACAAAAATCTACTGTGAGTCCCATTGAATGAGCACAGCTTTCTAGTCTAAAGTTGTTCTTCTGGGGCGCCTGGGTGGCTCAGTTGGTTAAGCGACTGCCTTCAGCTCAGGTCATCATCCTGGAGTCCCTGGATCGAGTCCCGCATCGGGCTCCCTGCTCGGCAGGGAGCCTGCTTCTCCCTCTGACCCTCCCCCCTCTCATGTGCTCTCTGTCTCTCTCATTCTCTCTGTCTCAGATAAATAAATAAAATCTTTAAAATAAAGTAAACAAAAAAAACTTAACCTTTTGTCTCAGCAAGAGCAGTCTGCATTCTCTCTCAAAGTTCTGCATCTTTGAGGGACAGTTCCTCTAGGTTCCTGTTTATTGTCTCCTCCTCTCAGGTCAGTTGCACACTTAAAATGCTAATACATCATCTAGCACAAAGAGAACACTCAAAATAAATATTTGTTGAACAAAAATCTACTGTGAGTCCCATTGAATGAGCACAGCTTTCTAGTCTAAAGTTGTTCTTCTCACATCGCCAAGTCTTTGCTGTCTCATCATTTCTGTGGCCAAGAAGATTGATTTAAGTTAACAAGTATCTATCGAGTAACTATATGTGTAGAATTATTAAAAAATAAATTTACCATTGTTTTTGCCCTTAATCAGATATGTAGTCTAATAATTTTTTAAGTACACAATTACCTATAAGATAATATCATAGACAAGGTTTATATAAAGAACTATGAAAGTTTAAAGAGCCTATTCCTAAATACACTATTAGGATAGACTTTATGGAGAAAATACCTCTTTAAGTAAGAATTTTAGGATAGGTTGGTGTTTGACGGCAAGAGACCCTAGGATATATCTAGTATAATGGCATGAGATGAGCAAAAGCATGTAGGTGGGAAAGTATAGAACCTATTTAGGAAATGGCCTCATTAGAATACAGAGTAAAACTGAGATTCTGCTGAAAATCTAATGGAATTTAAGAAGAAAAAAATTTATAGAGAAGGTCTTGGATGGTAGGTATCATTTTGTTTTTAAACAATAGTGTAACAGTGGGCCACAGAGCAGAAAAATAACATGAATAATTTTAATATATAATAAATCACAATATGGAGATATTTCATATTTGGACAATTTAGAGATACTATTTTGTGAGGACCTACTATATAATAGATACTGTGTTGTATGCATTAAGTGGACATTAGCTTTTTTTTTTTTTGTCTGCCAAAAAGAGCTTAATCCAGATACAAATAATTTGAGTGAATGAGACATATGACAATGGTACAAATTTGTATGGAATACATAATATATTGAAACATAAGATCCTCTAAAACATTCTAGACCATTCTATTGTGAACAAAGTAACAAAATTCACTTTTGATGCCAGTGAACTTTTATATCATCCAAGAGATATACAATGATTTTTCAATCCCAACAAAAACGCTAGAACAAATCCAAGTTATATTTACCAAATAAATTTGGAGCTATTGTCAAATATATAATAGAAAAATTGAGTTTGCAGGACACCTGGGTGGCTCAGTCGGTTAAGCGTCTGCCTTCGGCTCAGGTCATGATCCCAGGGTCCTGGGATTGAGTCCCGCATCAGGCTCTCTGCTCCGCGGGGAGCCTGCTTCTCCCTCTGCCTCTGTCTCTCGTGAATAAATAAATAAAATCTTTAAAAAATAAAAAAAAGAAAAAAGGAAAAAAAAGAAAAATTGAGTTTGCTATCATGCCTCTAAAAACACAGTATACAATGCTCTTCAGAAAATTGCTGATGATATAAATAAGGATATAGTTTCTAGAATGCAAGGCAAAGACATACTTTAGAAGATATCTACTTTTAAATTCACTTTTCCAAGTTATAATTTGGCATAATATTTTATGTAAATTAATATTTTAAGTAATCTAATGCAGGCACCAAAATTCATTGTACATAATGCCCTTAGAAGCAATGAAAGAGAACAATAAATTGTTTCAAAAAAAAAAAAAAAACAACCACTATATATATATATTGATTCCAAGTAAGTTTTTCAGAGTCTCTGAATGTGGTGGCAACTTCTCCAACCCAGAAAATTAAAAGAAAAAACAAAACAAAACAAAACAAAAACAGGAGCAACATGCATTTCAACTGTGAATTGAGAATCTCACAATCAGCTCATCAATTTCAAATCAATTTACTGTTTTTCTCTATTGAAAACACCAATATTATCTTGCAAAGAAAGGTTTATACTCCTAAGAGAATTTTCAGTATCCAAGTTGACATGTGTAATTTAATGAATTATGAAGAAAGTGAGCTACTGTAGTCATCTGTAAAACTTTATCCTTGAAATTGAGTGAGCACAGTAAGGAATGTGCTGTTAATATGAACTCAGTGTATGCGGAATTAAAAATCTTAGTTTTCTAAGCTCTAGTATGAGATTCCTGTTTTAGTAGTGCAATGTATTTACAGTAATAATTTACTAGGCACATTTTCAAATACTATCTGGGTCTCGGGATTTTTTAACTCATTTTTAAATTTGCCAATATCAGTTGCTAGTGGAGAACATAGCTTCCCAAATTTAATATTTATTAAAATTTAAGGTCTACAGAAAGACAATTATCAGATGATCTCACTGATATGTGGAAACAAGGCAGAGGATCATACGGGAAGAGAGGAAAAAATGAAACAAGATGAAACCAGAGAGGGAGACAAACCATAAGAGACTCTTAATCTCAGGAAACAAACTGAGGGTTGCTGGAGTGGAGGGGGGTGAGGGGGGGTGATGGACATCAGGGAGGGTATGTGCTATGGTGAGTGCTGTGTATTGTGTAAGACTGATGAATCACAGACCTGTACCCCTGAAACAAATAATACATTATATGTTAATAATTTTAAAAAATTTAAAAAAAACTTGAGGTCTAAATGGCAAAGAAAGATGACTGTAAATCTAGTGATGGCTTCTATAAAACAGATATTAGAACTGGTAAGCACTGAAATACTCAGAAAAAGTTTGTTTCCATGGAAGCAAGAGGTATAAATATTTTGTAAGAAATTATTAAGACAAATTCCATATGATTTCACTTATATATAGAATCTAAAAAACAAAACAAATGAACAAACAAACAAACAAACAACAACAACAAAAGAGAAACAGACTCATAAATACAGAGAGCAAACTGGTAGTTGCCAGAGTAGAGCGGAGGTAGGGGGATGAACAAAATAGGTCAAGGGGACTAAGGTAGAAACTTCCAGTTATAAAATAAATAAGTCACAGGGATAAAAAGTACAACATAGGAAATAGTCAAAATTGTAATAACTTTGAGGGCACCTGGGTGGCTCAGTCAGTTAAACGTCTGCCTTCAGCTCAAGTCATGATCCCACGGTCCTGGGATCGAGCCCCATGTTGGGCTCCCTGCTCAGCAGAGAGTCTCCTTCTCCCTCCTCTCTCCCCGCTGCTCATGCTCACAACTCTCTCTCTCTCTCTTTCTCATGCTGTCTCTCTCTCTCTCTCAAATAAATAAATAAAATCAAGGAGAAAAAAATATTGCAATAACTTTGTGTGGTGACAGATAGTGACTACACTTATCATGATGAGCATTTTGTAAGATATAGAACTATCGAATCATTATGTCATACAACTGAAACCAGTATGTCACCTACACTTCAATTAAAAATTAAAATAACAATTAAAAAATTGTTATATCCAGGACATATTTATTGTAGTTAAAAATTCAATTTTTCTATTATTTAAGTTCAATAATTTGATCTGTATACTTCATACAGAAATCATGTTTGTTTTAATTGTGACTGAAAAACAATGTGCTCAGCTTAACTTTTTAACTTGAAAAAGAATCATTTTTTTCTACTTCAAGGAAGCTTTATAAGCCAAGGGACCATGAAAATGATCCTCTTCTAAAGGTTATATGATCAAGAGAAATATAGAATCAGAAAGACAAAGGGTGGAATGAGAAAAGGTTACTAGAAAGAAGTTTTAATAAAATTAAACCAAAAAGCTTAATTAATAACAAGCAGTAATAATTATTATAGCCATAATAATACAGACTAAAGCCAGCTTAATATAATAAAAAAGGACTTTAGGTTATGAAATCTGAATTTCAGCCCTGGCTCGAGCACTATCCTTTACTTAGCCTAGGTGAGCTTCTACTGACCCATCTGTAAAATGGAAATGATCATTTCAACCTCATAAGATAGTGTGAGAATAAAAGAGTAATGTAAAAGCACTTAGAAAACATTATATATTATATGTGCACACTTCACACTACTTTACATTATTTTTAAACCACAAAATTTGTTCCTCTTTTTCTCCAACTTCCGCCTCCTTTTTTTTAAAATTTGAATTCAAATTAGTTAATATATAGTATATTATTAATTTCAGGGGTACCTCCTTCTTTAATAAAGAAAAGTTTTAAGTCTTTTGAAAATAATGGTGATATTCCCCTGGTGTGGTAGTGATACCAAATCACTTTTTGAGAGAAGAAATAATAATGATTTTAAAAGTTTAAAGACATAATCTAAAGATATGTCTACCGAACATCAGAATATATGAACAGCAATGAAGTATGCTGTTAATGCAAAATTTTGCCTTCATCCTACAAAATGTCACGGGGCTTGCCTCAAAACAATCAAGTGTTCCAGAGATAAAAAGTGCATCATAGGGAATATAGTCAATAATACTGTAATAATGTTGGGGCACCTGTGTGGCTCAGATGGTTAAGCAACTGCCTTCGGCTCAGGTCGTGATCTCCAGGTCCTGGGATCAAGCCCCACATCAGGCTCCCAGCTCAGTGAGGAGTCTGCTTCTCCCTCTCCCTCTGCCTCTCCCCCTGCTTGTGTACTCTCTCTCTCTCTCTAATGAATAAATATAAAAAATATGTTGTAATAATGTTGCATGGTGACAAATGGTGGCTACACTTACGGTGGTGAGCACTGAGTAATGTACAGAATTGTCCAATCAATATGTTGTACCTCTGAAACTAATATAACATTGTTAAATATACTTCAATACAAAATAATAATAATCAGATGTCTGACTCAATTTCTCAACCTTTATCTAGGTGATTAGATACACTATTTATTATGTTTTTTCTTTATGAAAATGACACCAGTGATTTACTCCAGAAGAAAGACTATTCTGGTTGTTGGTTTTTGGCTTAATGACATTATCACAGAAAATAACACCCAAGCACTATTTTTAAAACAACTGAGAAAGGGGGTGACTTCATCAAGGCAAACTACCAATGAAATGTAAGTCAACTCTTTAAAAGCTACTAAACAGTGGATGATAAAGGTTGTTTGTTTCTCTTGCTTTGAATTTCTAAGGGCTATAAACCACTGTTGGAGGTGAAACTTGACTGGTGGACTGTGAAACCCTCCTAAAACACCAGGTTCCAAGGGATAAATGCCTCAATTGAACTAAAACACAGCAAGATGCAAGATTGCTGAAGAGACACTGTGCTTGATAGAAACACCTGACGGTGAGTTTGGCTTCTGGGAAGAAGGAACAATGACAAGGTCTGTTCCACCACCTGGCACTTGTTTGTGGACAGGGATCTGGGGACACCCGGGGGAGATTGGTCCCAAAGATCCCTGCAGAAGTTATAAAGGCTTGAGGATTGAGGGAAACCTTTAGAAATAACACTTGGATTAGAAGATCATTCCTCCTTCCAGAGGAAGGTAAGTTCTCAGCCAATTCCAGCATCTCTCTTAGCTGCCTTGTAGGGCATCAGATTCCCTACCTATGTGCTTAAGAGCCAACTCTGAAGATTATAGCAAAGGAGATACACCACCAGAGTTCTTGATAATAAGATGATTCTAATTATCCCTTAGAATAATAAATATTCTGTCTTTGTCTTTGGTTTTTGTAACATCTGTAAAAGTCTGGAAGACTGGCTCCACAAGGAAAATTCTGATCTGTGTTTTGACTTTCTTTCCAGGTAATCAGTAACTTATAGACCTGCCATTTATCATGGGTCCTTGTTCTCACAATTTAGTCCAAGTGAAGACAGACGAAAAGAATCAAAACAGTTTCACTATGCATTGAACAATATCCAGTTTGTGTTCAGAGCAGAAAAACATCTGACAACTTCAAAATGAACAGAACTGGGAAGCTATGCATCTAGTCACAAGAATGGCAATGACCATTTCATGAGTAAATAGGCTAACGCCTTAACATGCCATTATTTAACACAAATCTGTATGGTCCTAAGGAATCAGGTGGAAATTCTTTTGGCTCTGGCTCCAAGATTCAAAATATTCTGGATAAGTTCCCTACTATTTTTCATCTCTTACGAGGATTGAACTACTCCTTACTAGAACATCAAACTATCCCAGACAAAGCTATATGTTCTCCCTTTCCCTCGTATATACAAGCAAAAAAAATCCTTCGTTCATTCATGTATGCATTCAGTCTTATATTGCTTCCTGTATTCTGGTACAATGATAGGTGCTGGGTGTACAATGATATGCATGAGATATGAGAGCCATGAGCCCCTCCTTCTTGGAGAATGTGAAATAAGAGAAAATATAATATAAATAGCCTAAGTCATCAATGATAGTAATTAAAATTCAGAAAGGTCAAGATACACTGGAAAATTCAGATGAAAATGGAAATACCTTTATAGTCACTGGATTCCCTCATGGGACTAGATTGTCCTGGTTCAAATTGGAGTAATAACAATGCCACACCCACATACTTACACCTTGGCCTGTGGAGGTAAAGACATGTAATTGTACATAGGGAATGAAAAGCAGGAAAACATGCTCATCAAAGATTTGATATACTATTATAACAGAATAAGAACTCATGTTATCTATGGCAAGACTCACACAGGGCTATTAGTACAGCTTTTCAAAAATCAATTATGGCAATAGCTAGCCTGGAATGACACCACCACCAGATACTGTACAAATCACTTTATAGTCATTCCCTCATTTAATCTTTACAACAACTTTATGGGATAGATGTTGATATTATTTGCATTTCGAAGATGAAGAAAGTGAAGTGCACAGAGAGAAGCTGTTCAGGGTCACACAGATGGTAAATAGCAGAGACAGGGGATGGTCCCAGGTCTTCTCAACTCCAGTACTCAAATTCTTAACTCTGCAAGGCTTTACTGCCAGTTCTGCAGACCAACTGGTATGCCTGTGTTTTTAGGAACCAGAGATTGATGCTTTTGGTGCCTGTAAGCACAGCTTTAATCCTAGAATAATCTGACCTCCTTAGAGGCGAAGCCAAGTCTCACCAAGTTTTATTTGAATTAGCAGCGTTTTTAGCATACAAACCTTGTAGTTCATGGAATTGGCTACAAGTTCTGAATAGAATTCTCTTTATCTTTTCCTCTAGCTTAATTAAAGTCATTCTTCTATATATCTAAGAGCCTTACCCTGAGAAAAGCCATTTGCTGGTTTGTTCTGAGTTCACTGGGAGTGTCAGTGAGAAGATCACAACTGGTTCATGGTCCTGCAACAAGAATCAAGCTAAGATTTATGTAATCACTGATAAGTACAAGGAGATCTAAATGCTAGTCTTTCTTCTACCTCTAAATCACTGAAGGATAATGGGTCAGTTAATTATCCTTCCTGTGCTTCAGCCTCAAGATGGAGGTCTTAATAGCTACATTCCTACCTACTGAACATTTTAAGGCAATTAAATGAGATAGTGAACATAAATACATTGAAAAAGCATAGAGTGGTCTATAACAAATTGCCCCTAAGTTGCTATAAAGACATCCAGTTGTTCTTCAAGGTTTATATCCAGGTTATGTCACTTTTTCCTCCCATATGCATAGTGCTCTAAAACATTCCCCCTTTCAGGGTGCCTGGGTGGCTCAGGCAGTTAAGAGTCTGACTATTGATCTCAGCTCAGGTCCTGATTTCAGGACCTGTAAGTTCAAGCCCTGTGTTGGGCTCCACTCTGGGCACAGAGCCTACTTAAAAAAATTTTTTTTAATAAAATAAAAAAATTAAGTGTTTCCCCTTTACAGGGACTGAAAGAGAAGTTGAGTTGATTCTGGCAAAATCAGGTAAGGTGCTATTGACAGGTAAAATAGTATTATAACTGACCCTCTTCATTTACACTCCCACCCCCATGCATCTTAGCTCACATTTTCATTTTAGCTGGGTAAATTTTTCATTTTACCAGGAAAAAAATAATTTTATGAATGAAAGTCTTTACAAGGCCCTTCAACTTTTATCCCTTTAGTAAATGTCTAGCCTTCCTTCCTGGAGGGATGAGCCTAACCCAGATCCAAGTAGTAATTAACAAACCTATAGGAGTTTGGATGACTTCCTATGGGATGACTATTGGGTAGAGGGTGTGTTTATGGGTGTGACAGTAACTACAAAAGAAGGTGAAACAAGGCCCTGGCTGTCTTAAATGCTCTAGTCTCATTTTGAAGTTTATTCTAGCCCAATCTACTCCCTATAGTCTAAAGGAAACTCTACATTCGGTGCTTGGTCCCGTTCAGTGGTGAGGCCCAGAGCAGGGCAATGCCCAGACCAGAAATGCACATCAGCCTAATCTTCAAACAGAGATTCAGGGAGATGGAGAGAGAGGATTATTTTCCTCATACAGGAAAACAGTGTGAGTTTTGAGCACTGAATTAACTGAAGTCAAACTAATAAGTACTAATAAGATGGGCAGATTTTCAGTGACAATGTTTCCTAAACACAAAGGAACTAAGTAAGCTGCAGCCAGCTTGTAAGAGGAATGTTTTCCTTCCATGAACCCTTAAGTCACACTTTACAAGACTATATGCTCTGCCTAAATGAAAATCTACCCATCAAATGAATAAAATCTTTAAAAAAAACAAAATAAAAATAAATAAAAAATAAATAAACGGGGCGCCTGGGTGGCTCAGTCGTTAAGCATCTGCTTTCGGCTCAGGTCATGATCCCAGGGTCCTGGGATCAAGCCCCGCGTCGGGCTCCATGCTCAGCGGGGAGTCTGCTTCTCCCTCTCCCCCTGCCTGTGTTCCCTCTCTTGCTGCGTATCTCTCTGTCAAATAAATAAATAAAATCTTAAAAAAAAAAAAACACAGAGGAAGTTTGCAAACAGTATGGGGTGCCTACAGTTAAGGGCCAAAATACTAGAAGGCTGAGAGTTTTTTCTGCAATCACAAACCAGTAATGAAACCATCATGCTCAATGCTGCTGCACTGGCCCAAGTTGACCTCTTTTTCTGTCTAGGAAGATAACCCTTCAGAGAACAATGGAGCACCCCTTATATGGGACAATATGATCCCAATGTATATTATAGGATTTGGACTCAAGATCATTATGACTTCATATTTGACAGCCAGTATATTATTGCTAGGCAATGTGTATGTTTAGAAATTCAGGGGTTATTAGTTCAGCTGGTTCTTGCAAAACAAAAGTGAAGTCAAAGTCCTGAGCTCAGTTGCCACATGGGGCAAATTAACTTGGCTCTTACTCAAAGTGACAGGCTTTATAGTTAACCTGAGCCAACTCTCTTGAAAATGTGAGCCGGCAAACACAAGCAAGAATAGAGAGTGACCTGCCCAGTATAAACTCATCTTCAAGATTATTAAAGCTAGAGGGGCTAACACAGTATCATCACCTTCATCCTAAAGCTCAAAGCACTTTCTTTCCTAACATACTTTTTCTTTTGTCCTAGAAAATCTGATGTGTCACCTTTATGGGGGATGAAAACCAAACCATAAACATCCAGTTCCACTTTCACCCATTTTCACCCATCCTGGAGATACAAATACTTATTTTTGTGGCTTTCCTGCTAATGTATATTGGCAGTCTCATTGGTAATGCCACAATCTTTCTCACTGTCTGGGCAGAGTGTTCACTCCACACTCCCATGTACTTCTTCCTGGCCAACCTGGCAGTTCTGGAGATCTTTTACTCTTCCACCGTGGCCCCTCTCGCTTTGGTCAACCTCCTGACCATGGGGAGAATACCCATCTCTTTCACTGGCTGTGGCACACAGATGTTCTTCTTTGTCTTTCTGGGCAGTGCTGACTGTATCCTCTTGGGGATCATGGCTTATGATCGGTTTGTAGCTATTCGGGATCCCCTGCGGTACACCCTCATCATGAGATGGCAGCTGTGTGCCCAGCTGGCTACAGGAGCCCTGGTCGTTGGTTTCATTCTAGCCTTACAACTAACGGCTCTGATTTTCCACCTGCCATTTTGTGGCCAAAACAGAATCACTCACTTCTACTGTGACGTACTCCCGATCTTGCGGTTGGCCTGTGGAGATACCCGAATGCAAGAAGCCATGATCTTCATTGCCAGTGTCATCATCCTTACTATTCCCTTTTCCCTGATCTCCATCTCATACATCTTCATTGTGGGTGCCATTTTGAAGATCCGCTCCGCAGAGGGGCGGCACAAGGCCTTCTCTACCTGCTCTTCTCATCTGACCGTGGTTCTCCTCCAGTATGGCTGCTGTAGCCTTATCTATTTACGCCCTAGCTCTAGCTACAACCCAGAAATGGGCCGTGTAGTGTCTGTTGTCTACACCTTTGTCACCCCCGTCTTGAACCCCTTGATCTACAGTATGAGGAACAAGGAACTGAAAGATGCACTAAATAAGGTAATGAAAAGACATTTGCTGCGCTAGGCAATGTGGGGGTTTCTGGGCTCATGTAAATGGCATTCTTCTTCAGAAAATGATCAACTCAGGGGAACTGATTTACTACTTCCTCGGGCCCCAGTTCCTATTTCTAGCTCCCAAGTATAGAGCAAGCTCCTGAAAGTTAGGTATTAACATTTAAAATAAGAGAAAATTCTTAATGGGTATGTATTTTGTTTGTTTTGTTCACTGATCCACCCCCAGTGCCTAAAATGGCTAAAGCAGATAGTCAACACATATTTATTGAATTGATGAATTCCTTCAAGTGATGTCAAAGGACATTCTTATTTGTTATCTCCTCACAAGGTTATATACTGAGACATGCTGTTAGCATTCCTATATACTCATAGAATAATTACAAGAGGTTCCCTCTAAGAGCACTAATAATTCCTTATGAGTTTCCACTCATAAAGCCTTATTTTTCTCCCTTCTATTGACTGAGTCTTGGGAAATGTTTACTGTGACACCCATTAGTGTTGAAAAGTTATAAAAATAATATCTGGAATGTAATAAATATCTGGAACGTGTTGTCATTTCAAAAGTGTCATTTGTGATGTTTCAAAATTATAAACAGTATCTTCACCCCATTCAGAATGGGAAATTTCAAGAAGGGGTCAAGGGACTAATGGTTATTTGGCAGAACTGGTACAAGAACTTCTTTTCTCTGTTCCTGCCAATCTGTCTTATTATGGTTCTACTTTTAAAATAACATTTTTCCTGGGCGTCTGGGTGGCTCAGTTGGTTAACTGTCTGCCTTCAGCTCTGCTCATGATCTTGGAGTCCCAGGATTGAGTCCCTCACTGGGCTCCCTGCTCAGCGGGGAGTCTGCTTCTCCCTCTGACCCTCTCCCCTCATGTTCTCTTTCTCTCTCTGAAATAAATAAAATCTTTAAAAAACATAAAGTAACATTTTTCCATTTTTAAATATAATACACATTGATTTTAGAAAAATTGGGAAACATATAAAAGTAGGCAGAAAAAAGTTAAAAATCATTTCTAACCCCACCAATTAAAATAAACCTCAGATAATATTTGGGTACTTTATACATTATGAGTATTATATTTTGAACTTTGGTATCCTGCTTCATTCTCTAACTTGTAATATAAACATCTGCCTTGCTGAAGTAGCCTTCTAAAATATGATTGTCATAACATTTCCGTTTATCCTTATTGGCGTTTAAATGGTTACCAGTCTTTCATTATTACAAGTATCACTGTGATAAACATCTTTAAATATGATTCATTGTGTGTTAACTCTAATTACTTCCCTAGGGTTAAAATATTTGAAACCCGTATTTTACACACATTGCCAAATTGCATTCCTGAAGACTATAAATTTACACTCCCGAAAACTATTTACAAAAGTATTTGCCTTATAATTTCACGGTCAACACTGGGCTGGCTTCCTTCCTTTCCTCCTTCCTTCCATTCTTCCCTCCCTCACTCTCTCCCTTCTTCCTTCTTTCTTCCTTCCTTTTCTTTTTCTTTCTTTAGTTTTTCCTTATTTGTCAATTTGGTGGTTTTACAATGGCAACTGTTAATCTTGTTTACATTTAAATAAATTGACCTTTTTATATATTTTATAGCTATTTAAAAACTTTGTGGGTTGGGGCGCCTGGGTGGCTCAGTCAGTTAAGTGTCTGCCTTCAGCTCAGGTCATGATCCCAGGGTCCTGGGATGGAGCCCAGCATCGGGCTCCCTGCTCAGCGGGGAGCCTGCTTCCCCCTCTCCCTCTGATCCTTCTCCCCGCTTGTGCTCTCTGTCCCAAATAAATAAATAAAATCTTTAAAAAAATTTTTTTTGTCAATGGACATCTTGGCTCTTTCCAGAGTTTGGCTACTGTAGACATTGCTG